CATAATATTATTATTGAGACAGGGCGGTACTCAAACTTCCAAAGGGCTATAACTTTGTTACTTTAATTTTACCAGAAAAATGGTAAAGGAAAAAAACATTTGTTTTGATCAGATCTACTCACTGTTAAAATAAATGACTCAACTTCTAAGTCACCCTGTATAAAAGATATACAGGGTGTTTCAGTTTATTGTTGCATAACTTTAAGATTCGATAGAACTTTAAAATTAATGCATAAAGTCTATATAAGCATGGGTCGAAAAAGCGTGGCTTCCGAAATACAGGGTGTTTAAATTTACTTTCTAAAATAGTCTTTTTTTAATATTTCGAACAATATTTGATGTATAATAGTGAAAATTGGTACACCAGGGTTTTTTGGTACAACAAAACGAACCATGGGCATAGTTTTACTGTAGCCGCTAGAGGGCGCTCTCTACCGCACCTGTAGTGTATTAAAATGACCGAAAATTTTTTCTTAGTGCAGTTTTTTACTTTTTGAATAAAAAAACTGATTCTTCGCACTTTTCAACATAAAAAAGCTCTCCTGTGAGTTTTATAGTTAGCCGTTTTTGAGATATTTCGATATTTATGGTTCGATGGATTTGTAATTATTTATGGGAAAATAATGTTTTCTTTACATTTTCGATGATCGTTTAGATTGTGTTTTTAAACACAGCAATAATTCCTAACTCCAAATAAACACAAAAAAACAGAATATTAATTTGTTTAATTCGAACGTGGTATAGCATTATTCAAATAAGGCCTTATTTCATCACATGCATTCCTGATTCTGTCTATTAGCATATCTCTTGTGGTTACGGAAGTCTGGTACACTTTTTCTTTTAGAAATCCCCACACAAAGAAACCTAATGGATTTAGGTCAGGGGATCGTGGAGGCCAGGCGACTGGTCCTCCACGGCCGATCCATCTTTCTGGATAATTTTCGTCCAGGCAGTTTCTAACTATTCTCGAATAATGAGCTGGACAACCACCAAGCTGGAACCAGCCCAATCTTCTTAAATCTAACATAACATCATCCCACATATTTGCATGTTCAGCCTTTAAAAATTCCAAGAAGGTCGCAGCATTTAACCTTGCAGACAAAAGGTAGGGTCCAAATAGTCGATTACGGTAGATACCAATCCACACGTTCACACTAAATTCATGCTGAAAATTTCTTTCCCGAACTGCATGCGGATTTTCATGCGACCAAATATGTTGATTATGAAAATTTACCACTCTAGTGAAGCATGACTCATCGGTCCATAAAACGTTACTTAAAAACTCCCTATTATTATCAGTTCTATCAAGAATCCACTGACAAAATGTGATTCTTCGTTCTCCGTCCCCTGGCTGTAGTCCTTGCACAGGTTGCAAATGGTAAGGACGTCTATGGTCATTTCTAAGAACACGGTGAACATGGCTTGCTGAAATTTCCAAGGCACCAGAAACTCTACACTTGTAGTCGGATCTCTATAAAACTCACGCTGAATCATACGGGTAAATCTGCGCTGACGAACATTTATGTTTTGATCCCTTTGGAGATTTCAAAAACCATTTTCAATTATTTGGCGATGCACTTTTACAAATACTGAGCGAGTTGGATGTCGTCTGTTTGGAAATCTTCGTGCGTATTCTCTGGCTGCTTCTGCTGCGTTTCCATTTACAAAGCCATACACAAAATGAATATCTGCTAACTCTTGATTGGAGAATAAAAATGGCATTTTTATAAAACTTACAAAAAAAAAACAGGTAAAAGAAACTAAATTTCGTGCATTCACAATTGCAAAAAAATGTTTCAGGTTTCAACAGACAACAAAACTAACTGTCAACTAATTGACGTTTAACCTTATTCTGCTTTCAATTTCAAAAATATCTGCAGGCACGTTATTTTATCATAAATAATTAAAAATGCATCGAACCTTAAAAATCGAAATATCTCAAAAACGGCTAACTATAAGAAAAAATTTTCGGTCATTTTAATGCACTACAGGTACAGTAGAGAGCGACCTCTAGCGGCTACAGTAAAACTATGCCCATGGTTCGTTTTGTCGTACCAAAAAACCCTTGTATACCAATTTTCACTGTTGTACATCAAATATTGTTCGAAATATTTAAAAAAAACTATTTTAGAAGGTAAATTTAAACACCCTGTATTTCGGAAGCCACGCATTTTTCGACCCATGTTTATATAGACTTTATGCATTAATTTTAAAAGTTCTATCGAATCTTAAAGTTATGCAACAATAAACTGAAACACCCTGTAGAATAAAATATAGAATGCATAATGCTAATTTTAAAGATTTAAAAATTCATTTATAGAGTAAAAACATTTAAATACTTAAAAACCTTATTTTCAAATTCTAAATAGCTCACTATATCTCGCAGATCTAGAGGTAGAGTATTGTATATGTACAATGAGATGTAGTTAAAAAGGGGTGATTTTGTATATGCCGTAGTTCTAAAACGATTAGCTTTCAAAATGGAATTTCTGGTCTTATACATAGGTGTGATGTTTATTTTGTGTGCTGAAATCCTTAATGCTTCGCTTTACATAGTTAACACACTTATATACATAAATACATGGAACTGTCAAGAGCTTATTTTGAATAAATGTGTTTTTGCAACTTTCGTCAAAACTAAGGTTGAACAACAATCTAATTATTCGTTTTTGTGATATAAAAACTCTGTTGATGCTTGTTGCTCTACCCCAGCATAAGATGTTATAAGATTAATGGCTGTATACGAGATAGTGATAATAGGCTCTTTTTATCTAAATAGTGCGTCATATTTAATATTGCATAATAGCCTTTATTTAAATGCATGCACCCATTCTCAGTTTTGGTGCTGAAGAAGATCTGCATCGAAACAACTACCAAGGAGTTTCACGCTATCCATTGACTAAATTTAATGATGTCTTAGCAGTTGAGTGTATGACATTTCTAATATGAAAGTTGATTGCGGTAGTTTTGTTTTTATTTAGGATCAACTTGTTTCTTTGGCTTTTGCGCTCTTGGCATAGTAGCAACATTTCGCCGCAATCCAAGCGGTACTTCGCAAATTATGCGATTATAAGACCGACGGAAATGAGTGACATGATACTTCGTGATGTCAATATCATATAACATCTGAAAAGCATTATCTCTCATTTTCTAAAACCTTCGTGTATATAATAATTCCCCGACAGTAGGCGAGGGAAGTAAAAATGTAAACTAAATAATGCCTAAGATTATAAAGTAAATGTCACACGCTTTTAAAACACGTGCTAAATCGATAATGAATGGTGGGTAAAGTTTGGGGCACTTTCCTCTAATGTTTAATTTTCCACTTACCATTTGATCTGGAGATTTTCTCGGATTCAACAAACAAGCTATCCTTCTCCATTTTTTTAACAGGTGCGTAAAACATAAACCAGTGAGAAAGAGTCATACGTGGTGGATGACTCAGATGCACTCTTGTTAACACCAAACAAATAACATCTATTCGAATCTAACAACGTTTTAATCACAAAGAAAAACAGGATATAACTATTAAATGACTATAATATACATCTATATCCGTATCTAAATGGAATCCGTATTACTGGGAGAGGAAATATAAGCGTACGTTACGTTTTTCGATATTTCTCGAAAAATTTTCCAGCGTATGTGATGTGGTCGTCATTATTGTAACAACTATCTAAAAGGGTTGGATAATCATCGAGCCGTATGTCCTTTAATATTTGATGAAGGATAGTCATAGAAACCACAAATATATACACAGGGATAAAATCAATTTTAACCCATATTTCTCATCGGACATCGTGTAGGATAATCGTACATTAATCGTAATACATTAATTTTTTCTTCCTTGCGCCCGTTTTCACGTACAGTGGCGCAGTAGAGAGATTGTACAGGGTGCATCAAAGTTGTTATTAAAATAGTGGATCTCAGTTTATGAAGAAATTGATAGGAATTAGTACGATCGTTGAAAGTTTTGGGGAAGTCTTGCACCAGTGGCGTGGCAAGGAGTACAAAAATATTCAAAAAGTGTCTGTGGGTAATTTGCATATTTTAAATTCGTTTTGGGACGCTTTGGAAGGGTACCGAACTTTGGTTTGGGTATTTTAATAATGACAGAGTATTTGCTAAGGCTCAAAATGTGGAGTTCCAGGTCCAAAAGATAAATTCCCGATATACGAGGTCTGTAAATTAAGTGATGAGACTGGCAACGTAGCATTCGATCTGGCAATACTGGAGGTGCCGGGCTTGGTTGGGAGACAGGGAACATGTGGTCCGCGTTCAGTACAAGTTTGAACTCGCTCGAGCCATTTGGTTGTCCGTAGCGACTTTTTTGTGAAACACTTTGGGTAAAAAATTTTAACTTAATTTACAGACCTCAAATACCCAAAAATACTGTGTGATTTTATCTTTTTTCCCGCTTGCTATTAAATGTTAGTTAAAAACAGGAGATTTTTCTACTGAGATTCATGCTTGTGTTCATCAACTTTCCTCCAATATTTTATGAATCAGGGCGCGTCAAAAATACTGAAAAATGTACGTAAGTATTTTTCCATCTGTAAAAATAAAATCTTACGCAGCTTTTTCGGAAAAGCTCAATTATGCTAATTTTAAGCTCTTTAAAGGGTAAACAACGTTTTTTGTACATTATTTTAAAACAAACCAATTTGAAAAAGACCCATAAAATTTGTGTTGTTTTCACTTCACAAGTTCAACACATAAAACTTTGTAAATTCTGTCAAACAAGCACCAAAAAGCTTGCCGGTTCATTTCCTTCAATAATTTTTGTGACCGGTCTCAAAATATAGTCAAATTATGAAATCATCCTAAATATGAAGGTCAGACATTATCAATTTGAGGAATGTTTGGCTTCTGTCATAGGAAGTCTGAATAAAGATATTGACAAAAAATTGTTTTGGGGTGCATTTTCAAGGTTGGGCCTTGTCAGATGGCTCCTTCCACACAACTTCATTTTCTAAAATAAAAACACCTTTATTTTCAGTGTAGATATTTATTGAAAACAAAAACAGGTTTTAGATGTACTAGCATCAACGCTGCCTTTACATAGTGAATTAATTCGTATAAATTTATTCCAAATATGATATAGGTCGATTAATTCTTAATATTTAAATAAGACTAAATTATAAATCTCTAAGAGTTCGGAGTAATAAATTAATCAAATAAATTATATAAATATTTTTTAAAGATGGCGGAATTAACACTAATAGAATCTACTAGTGCTACATAAATTTTGCATATAGAACAATTTGAATCCCAAACCGGTACGTGAGAAGTCAGTTCTCACTGGAATGACGATCGGTCCAGCAGAGGTATCTGAAAGAAATACGAAACAAAATCCTATAATACAATAAGAAAAATTAATGGTTTACTGCAATTCAGTGACGTTCGCGGCGATGGCGTATACAATGTATGCAGTGTATACAGTGTATATAGTGTAAAGGGTGGTCCATTTAAAAATTTTTTTTCAAAAATGCTATAAAAAAAACTACTAAATATTTTTCCAATTTTTTTTTATTTGAAAGTACAATCCTTCCGATTAAGTATGGAATACAACATCATTTAAATGACTGCCGCGGCTGGCTTTGCAGTAGCCCATACGGTCAACCCAATTTTTGACCACATTTTCAATCGTATGTGGCTGTATTTCAGCAATGGCAGCGCGTATGTTCTCTTTTATTTCGCCAATTGTTGCTGGTTTGTTAGCATAACATTGGTCTTTAATGGCACCCCATAAATAATAATCTAATGGGGTCAAATCACAGCTCCGAGGCGGCCAAACAACATCAGAATTTCGGCTGATAATGCGATCACCGAAAACACTTCGCAGAAGAGCAATCGTAGCGTTTGCTGTGTGACACGGAGCACCGTCTTGTTGAAACCAGATGTTACCGACATCAATATCTTGAATTTGTGGAAAGAAAAATTCATTTATCATGGTACGGTAACGCTCACCATTCACAGTAACTGCTGCTCCGGCTTCATTTTCAAAGAAAAATGGGCCAATGATGCCACCAGCCCAAAATCCGCACCAAACAGTCACTCGTTCTGGATGCATTGGCTTTTCTTCGATTGCGTGTGGGTTCTCTGAACCTCAAATGCGGCAGTTTTACTTATTAACATAGCCGCCAAGATAAAAATGCGCTTCATCTGAAAAGATGATTTTTCGACCAAAATCAACATCTTCATCAAGTTGATTGCAGGCCGATGAAGCGAAGCGAAAACGCATTGGATGGTCAGTTGACTTCAATTGCTGAACCAATTGAACTTTGTACGCCTTCATACCAAGGTCTTTATGCAAAATTCGACCTAATGATGTGCGTGAAATGTTCAATTGTTGAGAACGTTGGCGCGTTGATGTGCTTGGAGACTCTGCCACACTCTCAGCTACAGCATCGATATTCTCGGGTGTACGCACCGTTTTCGGTCTTTCACGTGTTGGTTTGTCAATAAGAAGACCAGTTTCACGAACTTTTTGCACAAAATACCTCACATACGGTGCTGACGGTGCTTCATTTCTTCCCATTTTTGCACGTAATTTTCGGACACAATCTGCAACATTACCACCACTTTCGAAATATTGTTTTAATATTTCCCAGCGTTGTTCAAGCGAATACACAACCATTTTCGTTAATCGGAATGATATGACTGATGTTCTGTCAAATCAGATGCGAAATAAGTCTTGACATATCCCAAAAAACCAGTAACTCAAAAAAAAACGATAGATGGACCACCCGGTATACAGTGTATACAGTGTATACAATGTATACAATGTATACAACGTAAACAACGTAAACAACGTATACAACGTATACAATGTATGCAACGTATACAACGTATACAATGTATGCAATGTATACAATGTATACAATATATACAATGTATACAATGTGTACAATGTATACACTGTATACAATGTATACAATGTATACAATGTATACAATGTATACAATGTATACAATGTATACAACGTACACAATGTATACAACGTATACAATGTATAGAACGTATACAATATATACAACGTATACAATGTATACAATGTATACAATGTATACCCAGGCAAACTGGATCAATGGGTGAATCAGAACAATATAAGAAATCCGGCTAACATTTTGCATAAGGCGTTGACACTGTTATTTTGGCTCTGTACCTTTTGTAATAATTCAGAAATCACTTTTACATGCGTTACATATATGGAAGTAACCAAACTGAACTAATATTTGTTGTATACATTATCTACATTGTCTACATGAATATTAAGGCTTATGCAATTACAATTGTGCCCTTCACTGCCTTCAATTTTTCTAAGATTATGCTGGTTATTATCGTTTTTTTTTCTTGTTTTTTGGGGAAAAGATATTTGAGGCTCATACATTGAAAGAGAAAAATTTAAACCCTCTCTATTTTCCGCCATGAATATGATTTGATTTTACCTTCTATTTAACGTACTACTTGAAAGGTTTGGAACAAAATTTTACGTTTGAAAATTGGAGGACAAGCTTCCTCATGTCTTTTTCATAGAAAAAAATAGAAACACCTGGAATATATTTTTTGAACAGGATATTGACATTTCGTCGAAAGAAAAATTCTGCAAAACACCTTTTATATGGGGTTAATAGTAACGCATATTATTTTAAAGTTAGTTCCCAAATTTTATACTAACATTACCTGTGACAGGTGCATTTAGGGAAGCATTCATCTGTATTGTCCCATCGTTGAATTTATCACCACATAATCTGATGCCATCTATAACAATATAATCATTTGGACAATCCATAGCTCCAGCACCTGCTTGTCCAATCGGAACTGTCCTCATCCCCACTAAAAAAAGAAATAGTTTTTCAAGTTTATCAATAGCTTGCAACCAAAATTCAGAAGCAATATATTTAATTTCACCTTTTTATGAATAAGGATCGTATTTTTAGGGCATTATGATTTAGCAACAGATATTTCTAAGTCACGAATCTTAACTGTTACCAAATACCATGAAAAAACGTGACGTGGTCACGACTTCGGGAACTACGTGTTAGCCGTAGAGGTCGTATACCACTGTAAGGCTACTATAGCCTGCAACCTATACCGTGCCTTAAAGACTTTGATAGTTTGCTCCATGCGATTTAGTAGTAGTAGTATCGTTTATTTCCCCCCAAAATACAATGTGTTAATAAATACAAATGCTAACTTCAGTACAATAATAAACGTAAAATAAAACATAATACCTGACTTTCACAAAATAATCTTAAGTTAACATGTTTTATAAGTCACACAAAATTTTTAAATTGTCTTGTAAAGACCATTGAAACCAAAATAGTTATTTGTGCACGGGCAGATTTTTTTTATATAATCTTGATAATAAATTTTGCTTAGAGCAGGATTTTATACAACAAACACATTATAAGTATGGAAGGTAAGGATGAGTAGCACTTATATATACTAAGTGACATATAAATCCGAACACCCAGTTTAAATGGTTTTATTTTAATAAAAGTTGGTGAATGTATTTATCTTACTGTAAATAACAAGTGAAAAAATGTTCAGCCTTATCAGTTGGACATTCCGGTTTTTATACTGTTTTCTTTTTAATTCACTAACGCTCTAAAAATGAATATTTCAGCCGCAGTAAAGAATCAACGTTGGCGGATTTTGGCGGACTTTCTTTTTTCGGGCAATTGCAGTTATAGAGTGCAAAGAGGTGAAGACACTGTGGTTAGGTATTGTCAGGCATGGCTTCGAGAAGGCCGTACGCAAGGAGCAAGGGGCACTGGACGCCGCCGTAGAACAACAGACCGTGAAGATCGCCGCCTAAGATTATTGGCCTTAAGGGACCGTTTCTCCACTACCAGGTCCGTTGCAAATGAATGGTTTGCAGAACACGGAACACCTATTGGCATGCGAAGTATTTAGCGACGAATGAGAAGTTTTGGCTTGTTTTCATACCGACCACACTGGGTCCTCCCTTTAACTCGAGAACACCGACGTAATCGCCTTGAGTGGTGCAGACAGCGGTCACTCTGGGATCAGGACTGGAACAGTATTGTCTTTAGTGACGAGTCTCGATTTTGTTTAGGCATGCACGATGGTCGTGCCAGGGTTAGAAGGCGACGTGGTGAAAGGAGGAATCCACAGTTTTTTGTTGAAAGACATTTTCATCACACTGTTGGAGTTATGGTTTGGGGTGCTATAGCTTATAGTTCCAGGTCACCTTTAATATTCATCAGAGGTAACATGAACGCGCAGCGTTATATCCACGAAGTTCTAGAACCCCATCTTTTACCCTATCTTGACACCCTGGCAGATCCAACTTTCCAACAAGATAATGCCCGACCACATGTTGCAAGAGTCACAATAGACTTCTTTCAACATAATGATGTCACCAAGATCTCCCGACTTATCCCCAATTGAGCACGTGTGGGATATGATGGGTAGGAGATTGCTCAATTTGCAACGTCCTCCTCAGACTCTAGAAGCACTTCGAGCGGAGTTGGTGGTTGCCTGGAATGAGATACCACAGGAGCACATCAGGGTGCATCCACACATTATTAAAGGTCAAAGGGCTTTAAAGCAGTGCAATCATTTTGAAATTTTTATCATTTACTTATTATGCTTCATTAAGTACTTATACAAAATTTTATTAAAATAAAACCATTTAAACTGGGTGTTCGGATTTATATGTCACTTAGTATAATAAAGTTTATTCCATTAACTACAGAAATATGGAGGGTGAGGAGGAGTAATACTAGCATAGCACGACTCCTAGTAAATAATTTCTGCTAGATTTCGTGTCTCTTGTCTACCAATTAAAAAAAAATATTTTTTAAATAAAGATTTTATGAAAGACAATGAGTTTATTTTATCAACATACATACGGTACATGTATGGCAAGCAATATTATATATAATAAAAATAATATAAATTTTACATGATAGGTAGGTGTATCATCGCAAGCTTACTATTCTTTGAAAAGTTTGTATTTTTAAGTTTTCATTTTCTTTATATCTAGTACTATAAGCATGGCTAGTTTTATTGAAGTTGTTTTTGTGTTTGTATATGAATTGAATTAATACATTCAGAAACAGTTGCCTTAGGTCAAACACTCCAATCTCTGAAAATAATTTATCAGAAGGATAAGTAATTTTTTTGCCAGATATTACTTTCAACATTCTCTTTTGCAGTGTATCCAGAGGCTGCAAATGACAATATGCGGCACTTCCCCAACTCAAAATAGCATATCGTAAACGTGATTCAACTAATGAATAATACAACATTTTCAGGTGCATGTAGTCTATGAGATGTTTTAAGTATTTAAAGCGATATAAGAGTTGTCGTAAGGTGTTTGTAATGTTAGCTATATGAACATCCCATCTCAAGTGGCGATCAATGGTGACACCTAAGTATTTATAGGTTTTCACAGATGTTAAAGATATACTTTGATTTATTAAAAGTTGTTCATACTGAGGTAGACAACGTACTGTATTAGAAAAAGGCATAAAGAATGTTTTCTCATACCTCACGGTTAAAAGTTTATGAGAAAGATAATCAAAAATATTTCCTAGATCCCGCTCTGCTTTAATTTTTACATTTTCCCAAGTGTTATCATCATACAGGGCTGCTGTATCATCTGCAAAGCTAAACACTTGGCCAACTGACGAAGAAGTTAGAATGCTGTTTATGTAAATTGTAAACAAACTTGGACCCAATACAGTACCCTGAGGTAAACCGTAATCAACTGTCTTTTCATTACTGAATGTGTCACTAATCTTCACTACTATTTTCGATTTGAGAGATAGCTTGTAAACAACTGTAAATGTTTGCCTCATACTCCTGCATCCTCCAAGGTCTCCAGCATCTGCTAGTGATTCAGTGTCGAAGGCCTTGACAAGATCCAAGAATACGCACAGTACCGGTGTACTCAATTTTAATATTTTTCTAATCTCTTCTGTTAACTTAGCAGTTGCATCTTTGGTTGATATTCCCTCTCGAAAACCGAATTGCTTATCTGAAAGATATTTGCATTTGTCCAAAAATCTAACTAGTCTATTTTTCAATGTTTTCTCAAATATTTAATCTATAATTATGATGCCAGATATTGGTCTATACTTATTTATACTTATTACATCACCTTCTTTATGGACGGGTGCAACTAAAGCTACTTTGAACCCTTCTGGGACTCCATTAGAAATATAAATTCGGTTGATTAAGGACATAGGGGCATTGAAATAATGTCAGCAGCATATTTAAATATTTCGGACTTCAAGTTGTCAAAACCGGGCGATTTTCCATTTTTAATAATGTGTAATTTCATCGCGATGTTTTGATCAGGATGTTAGTATACCCATAAGCTGATCGTTATTCTAGATCCGTGATCACGACTCGGTTTTTAAATCACTGTTATCAAAAAGTAGAGATATCATATAGCACCATCGAATTCGAATAGATTAAAAGAAGCCAAGTCTACATGTTTACATGGCATTGTTTGTTCCCAAAATTCCTTAGTCCCAGGGCCGTATCGTCAGTCATTCTTACAATTGTATGACGCTTTTATAGCCTCCTTGATTTTCTTCTTTATAAATACGATGTTTTCTTAATTGTAGTAAATTTCAGGCTGATAAAACAGATGATAAAAGTCAAAAGAATGAACAATTTGATGCAAATAGATATTCGTATCGTAATCTCAAAATAAAGCGTAGTTCTGAAGGACTAGACAAGCTATGAAAATCAAGGAATCTGGAATTATCTGCATTCATTCGCATTTTTTTAAATAACACTAAAAATATGAATTTAATGATGGCCCTGTTAAAAATTGACTTATGTCAAGCGCACTTTGATCCTCACTCCAGGCTAGTAAAATAAGAAGACAAAGAAGTCCTTAACTGGCTCCTTACACCTAGTCTGAATTCGTTGGATATCACACATATTTAAAAATAACGATATCGGCCATCTCTAGTTGAGAGCGTGAACACAACCAACCGCATACTGCGTTGTTTCATGCTTCTTAGCAATCATCAGTACGGTATACGTATAGGTCAAGTCATTTCTCCAAATGAGACGGTAAGCAAACAAGGAAATGTAGATCTATTGAAAAACCCAGTATTGATAGAGAAGAAAAACTGAATATTCGCATTCGTGTTCGCGATTATCGGCATTCGCGAATGCCTAAAAACTGACATTTCGCTGGGTTAGAATTACAGGGTTCTGTGTTACAATTTTGTCAAAACAAAGATAATGCACCACGAGATTCTATGGAACGTGTACTATCAGCTCAATTGGGTTCCACAGTTCTATGTAAACGGTGAATGGGGTTATTCTTCAAAATAACATAAGACCTTTTCGTTATTTTGTAGCATTGCTACCGCAAAGTTTTATGTACAATATAGGATTTGCCTTTACTATAAATATTGACCTTTGTGAGGTGCAATGTTTTATGTTTAACATACAACTTTGTGGTTATATTCTGAGTTAACCTACGTTTGAGCAAAGTTCTATGTCCTGACATAGAACTACGCATGCTCATGAGGGCGCCATTGCATGACGCATTCACTTCCGTTGTTCGTTACACAAGTTCGTTTGCTTTTCGTTGTGTATTTAATTTATTAACAGTATTTGATCAATATCAGTCCATATGAGTTCCGAATCTGAAAGTGAAGATCTGAAGAGCTAGAAAACGAGAACGAAATCCTTCTGCATGGGCACTTAATGTGCGCAAAGAAAAAAGAAACAGAGGGGAGTCGTATGTATCTTCTCGAAAAAAGGTTATGCCTGCTCGATCTATTAAGAACTTGAAAGACTGTAGTGTCCAGTGTCGTAACAAATGCAGTACATACATTACTGAGGATCAACGGAAAGAAATTTTTGAAGGATACTATAAGCTCACAAAAGAAGAAAAAAAATTATTTTTACTAGCAAATACTACTAAGCAGGTTCCAGAAAGAAGACGCAAGGGCAAATGTGAAGACAATTCTAAGAAGAAAGCTACTTTTTATTTTTATTTTACTATAGACTCTAAGCGAATTCAAGTATGTAAAAGTTATTTTTTGGGAACATTAAGCATAAGCCAAAAAAATATTTACACCGTGTATATAAATAGCAGAAATGTGGGAAATACACCTGCTCGATCAGTGCAAGGGAAGCACACAAAGCACAGTATACCATAAGATGCAAAGCAGTTGGTAAGAGATCACATTGAGTCTGTGCCAAAAATTGATAGTCATTATTGTCGTGCTGATACTACTCGACAATACATGGAATCAAGTCTCAATATAACAAAATTATACAAGCTTTATGTAGACTTGATGCAAGAAAAAGGAAACACTCCAGTCAAGCAGTCTTTATACCGTCAAATTTTCTGTACGAGTATAATATTTATTTCCAGCGGCCGAAAAAAGATCGCTGTGACGTATGTGAATTTGTGAAGCTAAATGAAATGGAAGAAGCACAGCCTGATGAGCAAACAAAAATTAATTATGAAAAACATATGCTTGAGAAAAAGACTTGTCGACAGGAAAGAAATTCGGACAGGGACTGCAAGGAGAACGCAGTTCTCTGTTTCGATCTCCAGAACGTTTTGACTTGCCCAAAGGCTGAGGTCAGCAAGTTTTTTTATAAAAGTAAACTATCAGTATATAACTTAACGGCACACTTATCTCTCACAAAACAAGTTTACTGTGCAGTATGGGCAGAACACCTAATTGGAAGGACAGGAAACGACATTGCTAGTGCACTTTACAAAATTCTGAGTCAGGTGGTTAAAGACCATCCCAGTTTGACTGAATTGATTCTGTGGTGTGACAGCTGCTTCCCCCAAAACAGAAACTCAATTATATCGTTTGCAATTACAAAACTGCTTTGGGAAGGCCAAAATAAATTGGAAACGGTTACAGTTAAGTACTCTGTGCCTGGTCACTCCTGTGTTCAGGAGATTGATGCAGCACACTGTGCCATTGAAAGAGTTTTAGATAAAACAGAGTACTATAGTCCTCTGTCACTTATCAGGATCCTTCTAAAAGTAAATACACATAGACCTTATAAAATTATACAAATGCAACTTAAGGATTTTAAGAACTTCCAAACGGTTTCTTCCCTACATCGTTATGATAGAGTACCGTTCTCTAAGGTTTCATCACTTCAATTTCGAAAATCCACACCTCACATTGTACATTACAAAATTTCTCGTTCAGAGAATTCTTTTACAGAATGTGAAATACAAAAAGAAAAAATAATGGAAAATGCTCTACAAAGTAGAGTGAAATCGGCAACTACTACTTCCAAAGTAGCGCTTCCAGCCAATAAAGTTGAATCGTTGACTTTTATGCTAAAATGGATGCCACTGATCGATCAGAATTATTATAAAGCCGTACTACCGGAGCAAAGTGGAAAAACTAAGAAAAAGAAAATTAACAAAAACAGGAACTAACTACAAAATGTTTCCTTTTCGTTTTTATAATATAGGCTGTGACTTCAAAAATATTTGAACTAGTTTATTTTATGTCTTAGTTTATTTTTATTAGGATATTTTTAATGTTTTATTTAACAGCTTATATTGTACCAAAGTTATATGTTCATAAATATAACCATTTTTTGACTCCCACGGTTCTATGTTTACTTTCACTGAAGTTTTTCTCAATTCACACCAGCAATAACAAGTCTCTGTAGCCGAATAACATGACTCATTAATGGTAACGTAATGTGGAGACACTTGAAAATTCAAAGAATTTATTGTAAGCGTAGTTACAGAACACTGGACTTTCAGATGCGCTTTTCTCGAATAATCACTTTTGTAACATAGAACCCTATAATTCTCACCCAGCGATTTGTTACGTCCATTCTTGCAATCAGGAATTATTGAACAGTATGTGCATTCACCATTTTTTCTAAAAAGTAAACAACTTACTTGCATTGAAGTTAACTAACTGAAACGGATACTCCATTCCATTAACGACATTAGTGTATGTTATTGTACAATATCCAGCTTCTCTTCTGATACAGATAGCGTAGTTTAGATTATTCTGAAACAAAGGTTAACGCTTATGATCATATTGCTGTTATTTTGTGCAATTTTCAAGTAAGGTACCTGTAGCAAATAAGACCATGCACCTATTAAGGCCATGCGTCGATTTCTCAGAAACTATCAACATTTAAAATTGAAGATTTCTGCCGATCTACAAATTTATTGAAAGCAGTTAGCAGCCATAAATTCAGCAGCTGTGGAGCGGCGCTAGATGGCGCAGTAGCACAGCGTCGGTTTTCAACATGTGCCTTATAAAATATCTGCTTTGAATTTGTCTCCGTTTTTGCATGTTGTCGGCTTCTTTTTGCGAAATCTCTTGTTAATTCAAATAGGCATATGCAGGTAGTTATTTGCTGTTGACAGGTGTTGAATGTTTTCAATTTTTTAAATTGTGTATTTAAGGTTAGATGTGCGTAATAAGGCCATGTTAAATAATAATAATAATAATAATAATGATGCCTTTATTAACTGCAGTGAGGCGAAGTTTAGCCAGACGGCTACTCTTACACTCAACCCCACAACAGGAAAAAATAATACTTAAACGCATAAGCAAAATAAGAACACACAAAAAAAAATATACAATTCATAAGAATGACAACATTGATTGCCCAAGACAAATGCAGATAGTATTGCGAGAGTTTTAAATTTGAAACAAAAATAGTGGAAAATTGTCAAACAAAAAAAAAATAAAAAAAAATCACAAGAGCACAAGAAAAACTGAACTAAATGGACTCCAGCAGCTGACTTTTCATTAATTTCTTAAAAGAAACAACCTGTTTGGATCGATAGCTACTGTTGACTGCATTGTAATGCTTGACAGCATTATAGGTGTAACTTCTTTCAAAGACCGAGGTATTGTGAGGAGGCATGTTAAAATTAGCATTAAATCTAAGAGCTCTGGTAACAAAACTACCTCGGTGAACTAATTTGCCAGCGAGGTAAGCTGGTCTGTTAGATAGTAGAACTTTATGCGTGAAGACGGTCAAAAGATATAAAAATAAGTTATCAATTCGCAACCAGTTGAGTTCTTTGATTTTATCTGAGACGCGACTAAACTTGCGCAATCCAAAAATAAACCTACAACAGCTGTTCTGAATTTTCTGGAGTTTCCTTTTGTGGACGTAGTCTAAACATGGGTAATACAGAACAAGAGAGTAAGAAATGACAGACAACACAAGACTTTCAGCGAGCTTTTTTCGGGTTTTAAAACTCAAGATGTATCGATTAGAATAGAGAAGTTTCAAACACAAATACGTTACTCTAGATAAGAAAGAGACATGCCGATCGAATCTCATATTTAAATCAAGGGTAACACCGAGGTTCTTGGCGTAATCCACAAAAGGGATGAGTGTCTCATCCAAAAAAACACAAATCCTCTGCTTCATTTCACGGTAGGAGTTCTTCGAACAGTACAACATTGCAGTAGTTTTATTGGGCTTGATCTTCAAGCAGTGTTTGTTACAGTAATCACCGATGTTAGCCAAATCTAAATTAACTTTAAAAGAAACTTCATCAACCTTTGATGGATCGAAACCAAACACTAACTGAGTATCATCTGCATAAGTTTGCATACTACAGTGGACTAAACAGTCTTGCAGATCGATCGTATAAATCAGATATAGTAAGGGACCTAATACTGAGCCCTGAGGAACTCCTGAAGGAACTGGCTCAGAGGAGGAAATTCCCTGATCAGTTTTCACTGTTTGTTGACGATTTAGCAAGTATGACTCAAAGAACCTTAGAACTATATCTGACATTCCATAACGAGATAACTTACTCAGTAGTATCTGGTGATTGACCATATCAAAGGCTTTCGAGAAATCTAACAGTACCAAGACGGTGTTGATGTGATTGTCTAAATTGTGAATGATAGAATCAATAAGATATAATAAAGACGAAGTAGTGCTGTAACCAGCTCTGAAACCTGACTGATGTAGAGGAAATAAGTGATTTTGTTCGAAAAACTCCACTAGTTGTGAGTAGACAGCTCTTTCGAGTATTTTTGATAGAAAGCATAATAAGGTAATTGGCCTGAGATCCGAATATTGTTCTGGATGATTAGTTTTAGCTATTGGAATAATAATACCATTTTTCCAACTGGCAGGAAAGTAACCTGTTTCGAGACAGACATTAATAATGTGAGTTATATGGTCTATGGTATCATGCAAACATAAGCAAACCATATTTAAAGTGAGACCATCAGAGTCACATGCCGTAGACTTAATGTGAGAGATTATATTGACGATGTCTTGCTGAGTAAGGAGTTTAAAAGCAAACAGAGGTGCATCCGGTGTATGGCGTCTATCGCTATAAGAGTTAGAGACACTATCATTCAAATTTGGATTAGCTGCAGCTGTCTGGAAAATTGAAAGAAAATAATTATTTAAAATGTTAGGCTCAAGGAGACTGGGAGGTATCGCAACATGTTTCTGGGCTACCACATTCATCCTCCTCAGGTGTTTCCAAGCTTGACTAGAGTTAAGATTCCGGAAACGTGACATATATGCTTTTTTCTTTCTTCTAAGCGATGCAAGGGCATAATTTCTCAAATCTTTGTAACTGGCCCAATTCTGATCAGATCTGTTATGCTGATAGACAGCGAATGCCTCATCTCTGAGTTGAAAAATCATTTTCAAGTTAGAAGTGAGCCAGGGCGCAGCAGGTTTTGTGACACGTACTGTGCGTAGCGGAGCGTAGAGATCGAATAGATAAAGAAGACGGCCAGTAAAAATAGATGGTTCCCAGAAGAATAAAGACGAAAACTGGGACTGTTTCATATGCGATAAGAATGAAATACGTGACATGCGTCTGTGTGTGATATGCTTGAGGAATGTGTAGGCTTGTTTAGAGGCGATAAGGTATTATTTGTTTGCCTTCAAAGCGAAGGCAAAGACAAGTTGATTTTTTTACTTGAAATCTATGTGGATTAAAGAATTATTTATTGTGGTTAATTAAAAATATAACTTCGATTGTTCAACAGTCTTGTTTGATACTTTGAGCGTGGGTTTATTAAAAACCAGATCATGGCCTTGGGTTCCTAATAAGGCCAGCGGTAAATATATATTTTTTATATGAAAAGAAAAGTTCTCGGAGCTCTCCGCTACAGCTTATTCACTGAACATACCTATAATGATACCTTTAAAATTTCATGATCGTATCGTGAATATTTATGAAGTTCCAGCTATCCAAACGTTAACGTAGCCTTATTTGGTACAGGTCCTTACTTCTATTTCTTGAGCCGAAATGTTACTTACAATGTATCCAGGGCGGCTTCGGTTAAACATAGCTGCTTGGTCATAGTTGAAAGTTGATATTACTCCGTTTACTCCCGTGTAATATTGCAAGCAATTATTAGCTGGTTCCATACACGAGTTCTTGAACTGGCATATTTGTAACCGAAAACGTTTTCTGTAAGACATTGTGGACAACACGGAGATCTGGAGAGGGCCAGTAAGGGTAGAAACGTCCACATATACTGTACGGAGTTGGGTAGATTAATTGGATTATTATTTGAGTGGATGATTGAATCATTAAAAGCTGCCACACACTAGGCTATCAGCGGTGACCATAGCAAAGCCACCAGGACAACCAGGAGTTGAGAATTATACTGTGTTACTTAATAGGTAAGGCCTGAACCAAATTTAAGTTGGCTGCTTCTGTATAAAAAAAAGTGGAAAAGGTCATATAGACATGTGCCCTGAAAAGTCTGGTTTCCAAGATGTTGAACTGAAAATTCAAAAAAGTGTTTAGTTTTTATTAATATCCCACAGACTCTTGTGCCAATTTTGTTGAATCTTGTGTGTCATCACCATAAGATTCTAAGTTGTCACGAATAATATTGAAAAAAAATGTAAGCAAATGAACTACAAAAAATATATGCTTTTTTCGGAATCAAGACTCTTATACAGGGTGCGGCAGAGAGGACGGACGTTTTTGGGATGGGTAGTACTCTCCGCCTCCGTCTACGAGATAGGTGGGGAAGGTGCCGTTTGACTCGTGAGATCCTAGCATTATTTTACCAGTTGTCGTTATGGAGCCTTGGATGGTGGAGCACCGCGTTTTCGCCTATGATTGTTTCGTCCGAAATAATGAGTCAGTCATCGTCGTACAGCGTGAGTTTCGTCGCCACGTCAACATTCATCGGAATAGAGCTGTTCCCTATCGAAACACCATCCTTCGTTGGGTTGAATCACTTCGCACGCGTGGTGAACTGATCAACAGAAGACCAAGAGGAGCGCCGCGAACAGTTCGAACTCCTGGAAATGTTGAACGCGTTCGACAAGCCCCGAACTCTGGACGAATTGAAGGGCGAATCGCGTGGAAGTCGCCCAAGTTGAGAGAGCGATGTTGGAGAGAGTCTACGCGAACTTCCAAGAACGCCTCCAGCACTGCATCAACGATTTCGGCCACCACATGCCTGATATGATTTTCCACACTTGACTGTCTCAGATGCTATTTCCTTGTGAACCTGATTCCATCAATAAATTTGTTTTCGTGTAAAAATTAACTATTTTATGATTTTTTTAAAACCGTCCATCCTCTCTGCCGCACCCTGTATTTGGCTCATGAGTCGATAAAAACCAAACGAACGGATACGTTGGAATGAGACCGACAATGAGTCCAGGGGAATCAAATCATGGAGGCAGTGGGATCCCGGAAACTGTAATAGATACGAAGTCGCGTAAATGTAGGCAAAGTTGCGTATTTAGTAATCAACAAAATGCCGCTTAGAAAGTTTAGAAAATCAAAGTATTTCCGGAGTGACAGATTTTGGGAAAATTCGTTTGAACTTTTTCCTGACTTTATTTGTAGTGGGCCTTCAAAATAAATTACACAATAACATTGCCACTTTTTTCCCTCTACAAGAAGGCATAATTAGAATTTCAATATGACGTTTTATCTCTTGTCCTCCAACATCAACTTTATTTTTTCTTATGGTCGCCATATTTTTGCACAAATGAATATAGTTTTTAATTCTGATCCCAAAAATGTATAACATTTCATACATTGAAATCGTTAAACCTTAGTTAATTCAAAAAAATCAGAATTTTCTAGGTACGCCTTGATATTATCAGATAATCATTTGTTTCTCATACCAGATTTATCCCAAAAGTGCTTCCGGTGAAAATTCGTTTTAATTGTTTCCTGACTTTATTTGTGGTGGGATTTTAAAATAATTTGCCCAGTAGCATTGCCACTTTTTCGCCTCTACAAGATGGCACAATTAGAATTTCAATAAGACGTTTTATCTCGTCACCATCAACTTTATTTTTTCTCATAGATGCCATATTGTATTTATGCACAGATGAATAGAGTTTTTAATTCTGATTACAAAAATGTATAATACGCCATACATTTATGTTCCCAAAGTTTATTCATTCCAATAAAACAGAAGTTCCTAGCTATCTCAACCACCTTTCTAATGACATCAGTGAAGTGTTAATGCAACAAACCGATAGACTTGTAAAATTTATCAAAGACATTGACATGTACTTCAATATATAGATCATTGTGCCGTCCACGCCGCTAATAACGCTACGAGGTTGATGCGGTACTGTCTGTTAAATAAAAAAAAAGAAGTTCCTAGGTAGGCCTTGAAGTTATCAGATTGCATTTGTTTCGTAGGTATACCAGACCAGCATGGGTATCATGTAAAAAACCTATAAGATGTCTTGCAGAGTAGGTAGTTTTTAGGGCGCCAACAGTCATTCCACATTTGCTCACTAGGATCGTTGTGAACGTCCATCTATGGAGGAATCACTCAACTAAACTACGCATTATTGGTTGCATAGTTTTGCGAGGCTGAGTGATCCGGGTCTGTAGTTTTTATCTCTGAGAAGAAAGTTGGTTGAATAACAAGATCGTATCCAGATGATTATGTGTATTGGTCTGCATGTGTATAAAATCAGTGATATTTGCTGTGTGAGAAAATCATTACTGAATATGCCGAATATGACGGGTTATTTATATGTTGTGCTTTCTGAAGTGAGGTTATGTTCAAAGTTATAAATTACGAAAAACTGAGGAGAATTACGGGAAATCATCACCGCGCCCGCGTTGTGTGTAATTACTGTTGGCTTGTAATTCGACAGTGTACAGTGAATATAATTATTTCTGATCTCTCTCATTTTGGAAATTCAGCAAATTTGTATATGTAATTTCCAGAATATATAAGAAAAAGTGGCTTCGCACTAGCTTTGAATCTCGATTAAGTGTATTTGAGACAAGAATCCAATGTAATTATCATCAATACATACAACTTACAGCTTAGACCTCCAGTAATGCCATCTCATAAGCAGATTTTACATCACATCAGTGCCGAAGATTAATAACAAGCCTCATGACGTTTAGGCAACACGTACAACTAAATGCTAAGTTAATATCTTGTAGAATAACCTACATAATGTCAAAAAAACAGCATAATGTCAAAAAAAATCGGCATAATGTCAGTTTTCAAGATACGTGATACCAGTGCGGGCCTCAACAGCGTACGAAACATATTGAAATTCTAATTGTGCATTTTTGTAGAGGATAAAAGTGGCAATGTAAATGTGCGATATATTATGAACTCCCACTACAAATAAAGTCAGGAAAAATTAAAACGCATTTTCCCAAAATCTGTCTCTCTCCCGATATTTTTTGAATTTCGAAACTTTCCAAGCCTCATTGTGTTAATTACCTAAATACGCAACGTTGTCCCCATTTAAGCGACTTCCCAGGGGGAGGCTCGAATTTGAAACACACCGTATATTTTTTAAATGGCAAGATGCTATGTTCGCTTCGTTTAGATGTTTACATTAAATTTTATTGAATAAATAAGTTTTTGGTTTTAGTCGTGCAAGCCGGAACCATCTCATTTACCTAATTCTACCGCTCACTATTCTTTTAAAATAATTTCTCGAGTCGAATAGGATGGTGGAAAAAACTAATACAAAGAAAGGAAATCCTTTTAGATTGCCTAAAGCTATTGACATATTTCGGATTAAGATGACATGGACGAAGAAAAATAATTGTACATTTTTGTCGCTGATTAAAACTATCTATCTGTTTGAATTAAATCATTCATCGTTGCTTAACAATAAAATCTCAATTTCGAATCAAGAGGGTATGTACGAGGGTGGTCCTAGAAGTACCCGGCCTGACCTAGAGATGGCGATAGTTGTTTGAAAAATATCATTGCATTCGAAAGTATGCAACCTATAAAGCATATGTGTCAAGTTTGAAGACGCCACGTTGTTTAGTATTTGTTTGGCAGCCATCAATACTAAACGTTTTCAGTGAATTTATGAAAATGGAGAAAATTGGTCATCGTTATGTGGTACAATACTTTTATTTCAAAGTCCTCAGCCCAACCAATATAAAAGCTGCACTGGATTACTCTGGGCGAGTCTGCTCCTTTGTTTACAACAGTAAAATATTGGGCAGCAGAGTTTAAACGAGGCCGTATGTGCTGCCAAGACGAGCATCGCGGTGGTCGACCAAATGAGGTGACGACTCCAGAAATGGTGAAGAATATTCAGAATGATCGTCGACTGAAAGTGCGCGAGCTAGAAGACGTAGCAGGCATTTCGAAAAGTGCGGTTCGTCGCAAATTATCTGAAAATTTGGACATAAGAAAGCTGTGTGCAAGATGGGTGCCGCTATTGCTCACAATCGAGCAAAAACATTGTCATGAAGATGTTTCAATTGAGCGTTTAGCGAAGCTTCACAGCAACAAAGCAGATTTTTTTCGTCGTTTCATAACCATGGATGAAACATGGGCCCATCACTCCACACCCGAGACAAAAGAACAATCAAAACAATGGACCCAAAAGGAACAACCGGCTTCAAAGAAGGTGAAGACCGTTTGATCTGCAGGCAACGTTATGGCGTTGGTTTTTTGGGATGCGCGTGGGATAATTTTCATTGACTATATTGAAAAAGGTAAAACTATCAACGGCGAGTATTATGCGAACTTATTGCAACGTTTGAGCAAGCAAAAACGGCCGCATTTGGTTAAGAAGAAGGTGTTGTTTCATCAAGACAATGCACCAGCTCACAAATCCGTTATTGCAATGGCCAAAATTAACGAATTGAAGTTTGAATTGCTACCTCATGCACCCTATTCACCAGATTTAGTCCCCTCGGATCATCTTCTGTTTCCAAACTTGAAAAAATGGCTCAGTGGTCAAAGATTTTCCAACGATGAAGACGTGATGTCGGCAGTTAATGGCTATTTTGAGGAGCAAGGCAGTTCTTATTCTAAAAAGGGTATCGAACTTATTGAACATCGCTGGGAAAAGTGTATAGAGCTCAAAGGAGATTATGTTGAAAAATAAATACATTTTTTACAAAAATTTTGTGTTTTCTTCGTTGTGTCGGGTACTTCTGGGAGCACCCTCGTAAGACGGTGACTAGTGTGTCGACTTGGCTACTTATGCTCTGCATAGTTGGCTCCACTGTTGGTCTAGTATGTGACAACTCTTTTAAGTTCCTTACTGTGTTGTCCAGTATTGTACCCACAAATATCTGGAATAACATCGTTTCCATCTTGACCCATGATCACTAATCTTTCCACAGTGCATGTACCGTTAATTGGACCTGCTAACTGAAACCAAGTAAATAGATAAAGTCAACTATACCCTGAAGCTGCGGGTCTGCAATTACCTCCAGATCTACGAAGTCAATTCGCATTCTGTTGACGCTTGGATTGGATTTGTAGACGTTGAACGTGCAAGACAAGACGTTGCTGCCCTGCCTTTCCTCTATACCGTATTTGTAGCTGAAAAATGAAGTCAAGTACAATACAGAACAAACTTTGGACGAAACCTGTTTCCTGAGTAAATCGTGTGCATACATATAGTATCCAACGTTATTTTGAAGATGGGGCCTTCAAAAGGTCCCAAGCGACACATTTTATATCTTGAATTCGGACCAATACCAGCACTAGAGTACCAAGTTTCATTTGCTTGTAACAGTGGAAGACAAGGATTGAAATGAGGAATAATAATAATAACTTTATTTCCGGATGACTACACAGTAGTATTGGAATTGTCAATTTCAGGTATATCATGTATACAGGGTGTTTCAGTTTATTGTTGCATAATTTTAAGATTCGATAGAACTTTTAAAATTAATGCATAAAGTCTATATAAACATGGGTCGAAAAATGCGTGGCTTCCGAAATACAGGGTGTTTAAATTTACTTTCTAAAATAGTTTTTTTTAAATATGTATTTCCGACAATATTTGATGTATAACAGTGAAAATTGGTATACAAGGGTTTTTTGGTACGACAAAACGAACCATGGGCACAGTTTTACTGTATCCGCTAGATGGCGCTCTCTACTGTACCTGTAGTGTATTAAAATGACCGCAAATTTTTTCTTAGTGCAATTTTTTGCTTTTTGAGTAAAAAAACTGATTCTTCGCACTTTTCAACATAAAACAGCTCTCTTGTGAATTTTCGTTATAGTTAGCCGTTTTGGAGATATTTCGATTTTTAAGGTTCGATGCATTTTTAATCATTTATGGGAAAATAATATTCTTTTTTACATTTTCGATTTGGGCATTACAATTAATTAAGATGATCGTTTAGATTGTGTTTTTAAACACAGCAATAATTGCTAACTCCAAATGAACACAAATATTAATTTGTTTAATTTTCCAATATTATTTTTAACAAGTTAAATTAATTACTTACAACTAAAATGCTATTGGATAGTTAGGAGATACATTCAAAATCTAAAGTAGTTGCTCGAAATGCACAATACACAATTCACATCTACGAATGATCGAACGAGGTATATCATTATTCAAATAAAGCCTTATTTCATCACATGCATTCCTGATTCTGTCTATTAGCATATCTCTTGTGGTTACGAGAGTCTGGTACGCTTTTTCTTTTAGAAATCCCCACACAAAGAAATCTAATGGATTTAGGTCAGGGGATCGTGGAGGCCAGGCGACTGGTCCTCCACGGCCGATCCATCTTTCTGGATAATTTTCGTCCAGCCAGTTTCTAACTATTCTCGAATAATGAGCTGGACAACCATCAAGCTGGAACCAGGCCAATCTTCTTAAATTTAACATAACATCATCCCACATATTTGCATGGTCAGCCTTTAAAAATTCCAAGAAGGTCGCAGCATTTAACCTTGCAGGCAAAACCGCCAACTATAACGAAAGACACAAGAGAGCTTTTTTATGCAGAAAAGTGCGAAGAATCAGTTTTTTTTATTCAAAAAGCAAAAAATGCACTAAGAAAATGTTTTCGGTCATTATAATACACTACAGGTACAGTAGAGAGTGCCATCTAGCGGATACAGTAAAACTATGCCCATGGTTCGTTTTGTCGTACCAAAAAACCCTTGTATACCAATTTTCACTGTTATACATCAAATATTGTTCGAAATATTTAAAAAAAAATATTTTAAAAAGTAAATTTAAACACCCTGTACTTCGGAAGCCACGCATTTTTCGACCCATGTTTATATAGACTTTATGGATTAATTTTAAAAGTTCTATCGAATCTTAAAGTTATGCAACAATAAACTGAAACACCCTGTATACATGATATACCTGAAAATAAATGCGGAGTCGGTGGGGGGAGATAGTACAAGCCAATCTGAGTCGATTTTACTATAGGAACTACTGTCCGAAAATTAGCCATTTTCGAATTATACTAATTTTTAAGATTTCATAAAATTAACGTCCTTTATACGTTAACCAAGTCATTAAACTTGAAAATTGGGTGTTTCGTTTGATTTATTTCTGTTTTACAATAAAAAATATTCCAAAATACGAAACTTGATACTCAAATGTACATTATTGACGTTATCTCATGCAGTAAGCTTCACAATAGTTAGATTTTTGTTAAAAAAAACCTTCGTTCATTTCAAAAGCTTCAGTTTACTGGAAAAAGTCGCATACAAATTTTTCGTACAAAATAATTATAAAACATCTACGTTTCATTACCTTTCAAATGAGGTATAAAAATCACAAATCGATTAAGAATTGGCAAAAATATGACTATTATAAGAGGAGGAAGGAAAAAGCAATAAAAATACTACACTTACAAAATCATACCTTAATAGAGGATAATTTGTTTGAAACTATATTTTTTTATTTTTATAATATATTTTCAATATGGTGCCTTCTATTTCTAATGCACCACACGTGCTCTTCTTATGACAGCTGATTTTACGAGTACTACCGTCGAATTCCTAAGAGAAGCTTGAATTTCTTGTGCTGCATGTATCATCCTGTTTCTGAGGTCTTCTATTGTGGGTACAGGATTTTGATCAGAGTATACTAAAGTTTGCATGTGACTCCACACAAAAAAGTCCATTGGTGTGAGATCGGGACTGCGTGCTGGCCATGGGTTTGTTCCGCCTCTACCGATCCATCGATTCGGAAACTGCTCATTTCACCAATTTCTAACACAGTCTGGAATGTACTGGGCACCCGTCATGCTGAAAAATCATTCTGTGTCTTGTGTGTAGCGGCACGTCTTCAAGTAATTCAAATAGAACATTTCTTAAGAAATTTTCGGCTTCTCCTTTTAAGTTTTCGGGTAGGAAATGTGGTCCTACCAAACAGTTGTTTATAATGTCCATCCAGACATTCAGACAAAATCGCCTTTGAGATCCTTTTGGTCTCTTCATATGAGGATTTCCCACTGCACGTTCACGTCAATAGTGAGCGTTATGGTAGTTTGTTATGCCGTCTTTATCAAATTTTGATTCGTCGGTCCATAGAATTTTTCTTAAATAATTGCTATCCTATAACATCAGCGTTTAAAATAAAACTACAAAATTGCGTGCGCCTCATGGGATCTCCTTCCTCTATGACATGCACAGGTGTATAGTGGTAAGGGTGAAATATGTTTTCATGCAAAACATACCACACTTGCCATTGCCAAGCCGTCAAGCCACAGCGCGAGTAGAGGGAGTAGGGTCTCTTTGGAAAATATTTAATATATCTTCTTCTTCTTCCACATCATGCCGAGGTCTACCTGCATCACCTGAAATAAAATGAAAAAGCAAATAACAGTTTTTTTTTGGAGGAAATTGTTACCTAATAAACATAGCGGTAAGACTATCAGCTAGAATTGGCAAAATATTATTTAGAAAAAAACGATACACAACGTGTGGATGTTTCCATCTTCAGAGCCATGTAGATGCTCGTGTTAAAATTAAATGAATAAACTCTTAATTAATAAGTTCAATCAAACGTATCAAAACAACTATGTTACAGTATATCAGTTCAGCCCACATACCTCCAAGACTCTACATAGGAATGACTGATTATGATTAGTTAATAATTATCAATGATGCAAACTTACCTTGATATCTTACCGCGCGCTCGAACCCGACGGAACGTTTGCCTAAATACGCGGGCGTCAGGTAGGCGACGATTAGGAAACATTTCCACATACTCACGACGAGCTTCTTCAGCATGGTCTCTGGCATCTCCATAGTAGAAAAGGATATCGGCATTTTTTCAAAACTGAATGGCCGTCTCCTTTGTTCATCAGCCATGGTTGTTCATCGATGGTAGATCAACGAACAATCGTCAGGAAAAGAATCACACACGGAAGTTCAACAAGAGCCAAGTCGTTAGAAATATCAAAACAGCGAGCAAACAAACACATCCGAACGCAACAAATCGCAAGAGCAGATTGAAGCGAGGGTGGGAAGGGGGTGGCTAGTCTTACTTATCACACTATTCCGGTGGCAAAGTCCAATGTTCGCCGCTCTACCTGTTTCTTTCACTCATATCTTTGTCATTTCTAAACCGTTTGTGACTTTGATACCTCATTTGAAAGATAATGAAACGTAGATATTTTAAAATTGTTTTGCACGAAAAATTTGTAGGTGATTGTTTCTAGTAAATTCAATTTTTGAGATGAACGAAGATTTTTTAACAAAAATTGAACTATTTTGAAGCTTACTGCATGAGATAACGTCAATAATGTACATTTGAGTATCAATTTTCGTATTTTAAAATATTTTTATTGTAAAACAAAAAAAAATCAAATGAAACACCCAAGTTTTATGACTTCGTTAACGGACGTTAATATTATAAAATCTTAAAAATTAGTATAATTCGAAAACGGCTAATTTTCCGACAGTAGTTCCTATAGTAAAATCGACTCAGATTGGCTTGTACTATCTCCCCCCACCGGCTCCGCATCTATTTTCCCGTCACCCTGTATAAAACAAACATAACAAGTAGAATGCTAACATAACATCACAATATGAGACAAACGTTGATGAATACAAAAGAGAACATCACTCAAATACACAGTTGAAATATTCTTCTATGCTATAGAAAGCATTATTCAATAGAATTGTCCTTACTTTTGCCTTAAAAAGAGAGACACTTGCTATGGTTTTTATACAATTTGGTAACTTGTACATCTTTATGGCCATAATATAGATAGAGAAAGTGCATAACGGGTACTCAAACCAGCTTTTCAAGGAAACGGTGAAAACTAAGCACAAAGAACAGAAACGAAAAATTGAAGAAGATATAACAGAAGATAAAGGAACAGGAAGAAAAAAAAGATTTTGGTACCAGTGAAAGTGAGCAAGAGCCCCACTCGACTGCCTGATATAAATAAGGTATATGATAATAGAAATGATACTGGAGAAATAAAAGAAGGCAAGTCAAAGGAAACTGTGGAACAAATAGAAAAATAAAAAGAATATCAATGTTCATGCCGATAGTCCAGATGCAGGTTCAAAAACGAAGAAAAATAAATTCGAAAAATCAACCTCGAATTTGCAAGTCAATGAGGCAATAGAGTTAACGTTAATATTGTTAAGTAAGAAAACTTGAGGTATGTAACAAAATATTTATTTAACTAATACATACTTGTAATTCTAATTTTACGAGTCAAAATTATGATTTATGTTTGAAGAAATGCCTGTTATAATTTATATTTTTAACATATTTTTATAGACTTATATTTTGACGGACTGTTGTAACATTTAAATGTTTAGTATTTCGCACATTTTCTTTGGGGTTAATTGGTAGAATAGCACTATGCTAAACTTCGCCCCTAATAAACATGATTATTATTATTATTATTATATTATTATATTCGAATTTAGCACCCAAGATTGCCCAAGTATATCTAATTATATCCGTTTGTAAGTCCTATGTCAAATAATTTTCAAAATTCCCTGCGGCACTCCAACTTGGACGAACACTTGTATCATATGTTAATCAAATGCGTGGATGCCGAATCCTATATCATTCCGATGGGGCTGGGAGCCATGATAAGTCTCAAGCAATCCACTTTATACCACTTGAGGCTCTAGAAACGACCCTCAAAATTACTTAATTGTATGAATTTTCGTACGTTTGAAGCATCAAAGAGTGAAAATATGTATTTGACACTGCGAAGCCATATAGATAACTAAATTGTGAGAAAATTTTTGAAAACCATCGAGTAACTTCTGTTATCTCATCTCTGAACTCATCAACTCACCCGTTTTTGGAGAATGGCCAAGTGAGCCTGGGGTCTGGAGTTGGCGATGGATTAGAAGTTGTTGCAGGTGGAGGCTGAGTTGTTGGAATAATCACCATGTTGCCAGAAGGATAGTAATCTGGGTAATTGGGGCTCTCGAAGTAACTACAGTTTTGTGATGCCGAACCGCCACAGCTTCCCCTAACTAGAGCAACATTATTATATATACAGGGTGACTTTGAAGTTGAGTCATTAATTTTCAGATAATGATTGTAGAAGGAAGATAAACCAAAATATGTGTGTAAAAATAAAAAAAAAATTTTACCTTGTTTTATAAAGTATCCTCCCGACAAGTATTTCAGTGCGGACCTGTTTTTGATCGTGCGGTATTTGAGCACCGGCATTCATGTCCACAAGTTCAGCATTTTCGAAAACATGTGCCATTTTTGATTTCGTTTGAGCCACGCAACAGACACCACTATTCACTCACGCGTTACCGACTGACACTGACTGTATACAACTGAATAAAATAATTGTAAAAACATCGTTCCAAATTCTTTCGCTTTTTTGTTTCCGATGCGATGAACCGATAAGGCGGATTATATCCGTTGTTGCCAAACACGAGCACATAATATTATTATTGAGACAGGGCGGTACTCAAACTTCCAAAGGGCTATAACTTTGTTACTTTAATTTTACCAGAAAAATGGTAAAGGAAAAAAACATTTCTTTTGATCAGATCTACTCACTGTTAAAATAAATGACTCAACTTCGAAGTCACCCTGTATATACAGGTCTGCACTGAAATACTTGTCGGGAGGATACTTTATAAAACAAGGTAACATTTTTTTTATTTTTTTTTTTTTATTTTTACACACATATTTTGGTTTATCTTCCTTCTACAATCATTATCTGAAAATTAATGACTCAACTTCAAAGTCACCATGTATATACATATATTGACAATTTCAAAGTACCATATCTCAGTGAAAAAAGTATATATGAGCAAAGGACAAGTTTTATACTTTGAGATGATATCTATGGGATTTTGATGAAAAAATAAGCAAAATTCTTGTCAGCTTGTGTAATTTAAAAAAAAAGGGATATCCGGAATGCTCCTTTTGTTTCGTGATGAAGTTACCCAGGCACAATTAGTGTGCTTTGATTTTTGTTATTGAAAGAAGTACCCCTGAATAAACCACCCATTAAATATTGTCGGCTATTATTATGGATTTTTTAATTTATTTTCTAGATTCAAGTTCCAAACCTATACTCAATTCAACATACTTACAGATGCAACATACACCATACCCAGCTGCACAGGTTCCCACAGAAGTTCCTCCAAGCCTTTGACATTCACCAGCAGTATAGCAAACTCCCAAGTACGAGTAGCCATTGTATGTCACATTACACTGCGTATTGTTAAACTTCACTATGGTGAACAAGCTGAATATTTTCTTTATTTTCGTCAGAGTCTTATTCTTGAAGTTCCACAAGCTACCATCGATGTATTTTGTCTTTGGAGGATCGATGGAAGGTTCTGCTGCTTGACCAAGCTTTGGTGACGCTAAGGTAGGACTGGGGCTTGTATCAATAGTACTGTTGTACTTTTTCTTATACAGTTTCACAAGATATCGCTTCAGTAGTGCGCCAATTCTTCTTTTGGTACCCTCTAAGCTGTTGTTCTCAGGAGTTACTGTTATAACTTCTAGTTCTTCGTACTTAGAAGGCTTGGAAGACGTTTGAACATACGACAATTGTGTTGGATAGTAGTACCAATGCGTTTTGTTCACTTTGTCATATTTACGTTTTGGAATTGTATTCCCATAGTAGCCTTCTTCCCCAGGAGGCTCTATAATTTGGCTTTGGACCAATACAAGTTCGTCTTTCTGTGGCGTTACAATTTTACCGTACTCTGACTCTAAGTAATCGTTTTTTGTTAAGAATTCAACTTGGGGATAATGAAAATCTATCCGATCTAAACTGGCTCCTTGTTCGAGACTTTCTGAAGAAACTTTATCTTCTGGGATAAATCTAGGCTCTCTGCTGACGTCGTATATTTCTGGATGGGCCTGGACCGATCTATCTAGATTGGAAAAAGTTGTATATTCTCAAAATCGTTTTTTAATAATTCCTGACGCTTCTCTGATTTCAAAGTTACCTTTATAATCTTACCCTCAATCTCAACATATCCCTCTTCGTCACTGTCTTCCTCGGCAACACTATAAAATCGTTCACAAAACACCACCATTCTAAGGGACAAAATAAAAAACAATTTGCAGTGCATTTCCAACAATGATACAGACAACTTGTAAGAAAACGACAATTGACTCTCCGGGAATGGAAATCTTGATCTTGTCTCGTTAGACAAAAATTATCGGAGTTACTAGAGCCAGAAACGTCGTCAGTAACGCTCTAGATGTTGACCTTGTTATGTTGTTTATAATGATAATGGTTTGGATAAACGATCATTTTCGCGGCAATTTTCGTTTTCTTCGTCTGAAAAGTGAAAGAATTTTCTCGTTGTGCTCACAAAACGTGACAGTGATCATTCATCTTAGTTTAAAATTACAGCCAATGAAGTCTGTCAAACGAAATTGTATTGTGGCAGCCGTATTTTATAGGTGTTGTAACGGGTGATTTTTTAAGAGGTATAGGATTTGATTTTCAAAAAAAAACAAAAAATCTTTATTTGAGTCGATAGAACGGTCGATATAATTTAATGTTTAATGATTATTTCATGTAAATGTTGGCCGCGGCTCCGCTTTAGATGGCCCATGCGCAAGGTCCAATTTTGGCACACTCTCTCCAACATATCGGCCGGTATCTCACGAATAAATGCTTCAATATTGGCTTCCAGTGCGTCAATCGTTGCTGGTTTATCCCTGTAGACATTAGCCTTAACATGGCCCCACAAGAAATAGTCCAACGGCGTTAAATCACACGATCTAGGCGGCCAATTGACGGGCCCCAAACGTGAGATAAACTGTTCACCGAACTCGCCTCTCAATAGGGCCATTGTTTCGTGTGCGGTGTGGCACCGTCGTGTTGAAACCACATGTCAGCCAAGTCGAGCTCTTCGATTTTGGGCAAAAAAAAGTTTGTTATCATCGCACGGTAGCGCTCGCCATTCACAGTTACGTTCCGGTCATTGTCGTCTTTGAAGAAGTACGGCCCGATGATTCCACCGGCCCATAATCCACACCAAACAGTGATTTTTTCGGGATGCATTGGTAGCTCTTGTAATGCTTCTGGCTGGCCTTCACTCCAGATGCGGCAATTTTGCTTGTTATTTCAATTCAACCAGAAATGAGGTTCGTCGCTGCATACAATTTTTCGATAAAAATGTGGATCTTCCTCCAACTTTGCCAGCGCTTATTCACCATATGGGAAACGTTGTGGGAGGTCGTGTGGCTTCAATTCTTGCACCAGCTGTATCTTATAAGGTTTTACACCCAAATCCTGTCGCAAAATTTTCCACGTAGTGGAGTAACAGAGGCCCAATTGCTGCGAACGGCGGCGAATCGACATTTCACGGCCATCACTAACACTGGCGGATACGGCCGCAATATTTTCTTCAGTCCTCACTCTACGTCTGCGTGTTGGTGGTTTAATGTCCAATAATGTAAACTGGGTTCAAAATTTAGTCACAAGCTTCCGAATAGCTCCCTCAGTAGGCCGACCAAATTGCCCATAAATTGGAAGCAGTGCTCGATGCGCTCTCTTAACCGAGCATGAATTTTGATAGTAAAATTCAATAATTTGCAAGCGTTGTTCGTTCGTAAGTCGATTCATGGTTAAATTATAGACCAAACTGAACAAGTTTGACACTGACACAAGACACGATTCACGCGTCATCTGTCAAAAACAGTGTTGTCAAAAAGATACTAGCAAAAAAATCACCCATTACATAGTGATTGTTCAACATTTTCGATATCCTAGAAACAACTAAGTATAGCCACTTCTCAATGTAGTGGTTGACCGAGCATGTGTGGCAAGTTAAGCGATAATGGTGGCAAGGACCTGAAGAATTCGACCGGCAGGCTTATAAAACTCAGGAGTAGATGTTCAAAGTCTGTTTGCATATAGGTAGAAGAATGTCACATCGATGTCAGCTCGACAGTTTGAGAGAGGCCTCAACTATGTTTGCCCAACTGCCTCAGAAGGGTAATATTTTGTATGTAGGTAGGTATGTATGTGGACAAGAATAATTCTTTTTCATGGACTACAGTCCAAACGGCTTGATGGTTTTTTGTATATGTTGTATTGTTGGATACGTCTTAGCAGTGCGAGTGATACTAGCTAATAAAATTTTCAAAGTCAAATTGGCGAATTTTGATCGAAAATTTCTGTTTTACGAACTACACCTAAGCTAAAGTCATCATGATTACAAAGAAGGTGGGTTCGATATTTCCTCAGGATTACCGTCCCATAAGTCTGCTGTCAGCTCCTTCTAAGCTCGCCGAAAAGGTGATTTATCGTCACCTTGAGAATTTTTCGTCAAATCACCATGTGATTCCTGACGTCCAATTCGGTTTTCGGTCCGAGCATAGCACCGAGCTACAGGCAGTCAGGCTGGTGGAGCATGTAACCAGAGGGTTCACCCTTAGCATGAGTACTGGTATCTTGCTTTTGGATGTCTCAAAAGCCTTTGACAAGGTGTGGCACGCGGGCCTCCTCTATAAACTAATCCAAAAGGGTTTTCCTTTTTGGCTTCTAAAATTACTGAAATCCTTTCTTGAAGGAAGGAAGTTTCGGATCAAAATTAACAATGTTTTGTCAACAACACGGCGAGTACGGGCCGGTGTTCCTCAGGGTTCGGTCCTAGGACCAATTCTTTATTCGCTTTTCATCCATGATGTCCCTTCCCCCAGCAACTGTGAAGTCTACCTCTATGCTGACGATACTGCACTTGTCGCCCAGTCGTGTACTGGTGATCTGGTTCACGATGGGTTGCAGAATGCGGTGGACGAAGTTCTAGAGTGGGCGGAACGGTGGCTGATAAAAATTAATCATTCGAAAACGCAGGCTATTTATTGTACCAAAAAACGTCGCGGCCCCCCAGCAGAGGTTTCTGTAGACGGAAATCGTGTACCATGGACAAATTCTGCCAAGTATCTCGGTGTCACCCTTGATAAAGGCATGACCTGGCAGAAACATACAGCATCCATAAAAACAAAATTCCAAATTGCGTTTCGGCAACTATATCCTTTGTTATGTAGATCCTCCAAATTGAGTTTGATAAACAAAGTTCGACTATATAAAATGATTATTAGACCAGCCATTACTTATGCATGAGCGGCTTGGTGTTTTCTTGCCAAGACACGCATGCAAAGTCTTCAAGTACTGCAAAGCAGAACTTTGCGGACAATTTGCAACGCTCCATGGTATGTCTCAAATGAGACACTACACAGAGACCTTGACATTCCTTACTTGAGGGATTATGTCAAGCTTCAGGCGCAGCGACGTTATAGTCAAGCGGAATCGCACAGCAACCCTCTGATGCGTGACTCAGTGGACTACACAGTGGAGCAAGTTCGTAAACATTCAAGGCCACGGCTCGCACTGTAATCAAAAGTTAGCGTGAATCTTTAGTAAACTCAAAATTACACTCTAACAAAACCGAATCAAAAATTTGTTTAGTTCACCTCAAAATTAATCCGTGTACCAAGTCAAAAAGCCTAGGTGTTTCCTCTTAAACTAAGCATATCTGTTTTTCTTTGTTCTTCTCCTTTTTTCTTCTCTTTCCCTTTCTCTTTTTCCTTGACTTTGTCTGGTTTCTGGGCAACCAGGACTGACAGATTCGACTAACGTACATCAGACAGTGACTAATGGGCAAAGGTCCTACGGACCGCCCAGACAAATAAATGACGAATAGTACCCAAGCTAAAGTTTAAACGCCTTCATGACTTTAGACATACGATGTGTCCAGCTTTGTCTTGTCAGCCCGAGTATCACTGGGTATATAAAAATTACGTAAGATCAAAATGGCGAATATTAATCTTAAACCCTGAAATTTCTATTTCACATGCTCGGCAAGGATATTACGTATACTGAAAAGTGACATTGTGTCGGGTTTTTTTGACATTATATAGGTGTTTTGTGATATTATGTAAGATGTCAACTTAGCACTAGCTGTTGTGCTCGTTCCGTAGCAGTACGTGTTGCCTAATCGTCATGATATTTCAGCTATCAATGTATGGCTCTGATGTGATGTATCATCTGCATCAGAGATGGCATTACTGGAGGTGTAAGCTGTAAGTTGTATACCATAGCTGGAAGGAAACGGCATTGCATAAGTGCATAGCAAGGATTTGTGTGCTAATAAATCTGTGATGATGATAGTAATTACATTGGTTTCTTATCTCAAATACACTTTCTTGAGATGTAAGCGAAGCTAAAAATCATTTGCGCATCCGCTTTTTGTTATTCAACTTGGAAATTACATATGCTAATTTGCTGAATTTCAAAAAAGAAGGCCATAAGAAAAGAAAATCCCTGGTTGGTGAACTATATTAAAACTAGCAGGTGAGAAAATATGATACCGTAATTTTTATTTCCAGTCATTTAAATTTTATAGAAATTTATTTTACGGTGTCAAGTAGAAAATATAAATCAGCGCCTAGTTGTGAGGCAGTACGAAAATGTTTTATATGTGATGCGTTATTCCTATTTTTCAGTGATGTGGCTTAATTACTCACAACGCGGGTGCGATGCTGATTTCCCGTACCTAATATTTCAAAAGTTTTTGAAAACGCAAAAAAATCGTATTGTATAACTTTGAACATAACCTCTCTTCAGAAAGGATAACACAAATAACTCATCTGGTACAGCTTATAGATATATTTCATGGGTAGCATATTCAGTAATACTTTTCTCGCATAGCAAATATCACTGATTTTCAATCATCCAGATGTGATCTTGCTACTCTGCTACTCAACCACACATCTTCTCAGACTATACAGACTATCTCGGCATTCTGCAACCAATAACGCGTGATGGAGAACTGACTTGCAGCTTGCAGTATGGTCACTGACCGTGTCGTGTCGTTGAGTCATTCGTCCATAAATGGACGCTCATAGCGACCAAACGCTGAATGTACTATTTGCACACTAGGAAGCTGTCTAGACAACAACTTGAAGTTTTGTCAGGTTTTTTGACGTTTTTAGGACTTTACGCAATAGCCCTGCCGACCAAACGGCTGAATGGATTTTGACATTTTAGGTGTGCTTATATATTCTTTTGATAACACAGTATCAAAAAACAATTCTTTTTAGTTACTGCACTTGGGCTTTTTGCATTTTTCGGCGACTCTAATGTGTTTGACTCGTACCTAATCGTATATCAGAAGTTTGATGTATTCGATGTAATAAGGGCTTACGTCGCTTAACTATTCGAAACACTGCATTATTTTGTTCGGAAAATAGTGGAATTATTAGTGCTTCCCTCGTATATAGTTCCTTTATCACAAGTTTTACAGGTTCCTTCTGACTGAGCCACTTTATTAATTTATTTTATACGCACAAAAATAGATGGCGCTACTTAAATTTATAAAATTTGTAAATGTTTATATTTTTTGAATTACATCAAAAAGGAATAATGGAATACAATAACTAAATATTTATTTTTGCTTCAAATTATTTATAATTGTATTAAGCTGTAGTACGATTATAGAGTTGCTACATTTTTTGTGTTTATTTTTTATTTTCGAATTTTAATCGAAAAAATATGGCTTCCAATAAAAAATGAAGTTTCCCTGAAAATGCCATAAAAATGTATAGTTTGTTAATTTTTAATTTAATATTAGGAATAGTAGGCAAGGTATCATGTAAGTAAAGCCTTTTATCTTCCGCTTACACTGCCTATGCTATACTTTATTTCTAATTATTTCAATTTGAGGTTATGATTCCATTTAGCAATTTTTCCCTTTTTAGGCAACTTACGACTACAGATTTTGAAAAACACCAATGACTTCCTCTCGCCAGTGTCCGATACAGTTGAAGAAAAAGTGGGCACATCATTTTCATTAATTTGTATGTTGATTGCTACCAATGATACCAACTCCAATCTCATCGATGACAATTTGTCATGGATAAGAACAGAAAGTTTATCAAATCAAACCAGGTACCTATTACATGGTATTATTTCTTCGTGCATATTAATTACTCATCAGTGCAGATTTATTTCGTACCTGGATATGTGTAAATTCCAGAATTCAATATACAGGGTGCTTCAAAGTTTGGTATCTGCAGCACAACATATACTTTTTATATATTGAACCATAGCCCAACTTCCAACAGTATGAGCAAATTGCATAAAGTGATTGAAATTTATCACACAGCATCTCGGCAGCTTTTCTCCTCTTCGGCTACGAAGCAGAAGCAATTATTTAAAATGTGACCTCCAAGAATTGTGAATAAAAATATACAGAGTGTGGATTTAAAAACTTCTCACCACTGATTAAAAAAGAAATGCAGAGTCACCTCAAAATATTTGTCAAGGGGGACAACTTTTTAACCATAAACTACTTCACCCTTTGCCCCCCAGAGTCATCAGATTAAAAATGTTAAAGGGGTATCCAGTAATGTTTGGAAGGTTTTTCAAAGTCCTTTATTTTGATCTTTGATTTTTTTTTGGGCAACATTTTGAACACTTATTGGAATAAAAAGTGATCTATATATATATATCTGAACAAATTGAGATAAATAATGATTTTTCTAATTTTCTCGAAACGAATACCCTGTATGCTACAATGTAACTTGCTTCAGACAGTTGATCATATTAACTAATTATAACATTTTCAGGATAAAAAAGACAATTTCTAGCAATCCAGGCATCAACAAATCAGAAAAAAGGTTTGATGCTCTCAAAGTGGACGATGTTGGTACCTACTATTGTGTTAGTAAGAAATTCAACTTATCAGTTGATGTAACCATTTCTGTTATTGACAATGACGTCAAACAAAACGAGTTCAGATTCATGCGAGATCCAGTGTATTGTAATGATCAGATGTTTCATTGCAAATCTGATGGATTGTGCATCATATCGCATTATGTCTGTGATGGGAAGCCAGATTGTAAAGATGGGTCTGATGAAACTATAGATCTGTGTCATGGGGAACCTTGCAAAGGTGAGGATTTTTTAATAGTCTAGTTTAAATAGTCATTTTGTATGTTGGCATGAAAGTAAAATTCACTAAAATGATAGCACAGGATTGCAAAATAAAAAAGTGGTCTGTGCTTGGGATTCTACTTTGTTTTTCTCATGTAATTTTTCATGCAGAGCACCAATGTGAAGACATTGAGCCGTATTGTATTCATAAAACAAAGCATATCCTTGTACTTGCAAATTTTGAAGGAAATCCTCCAGATGGTATTTATAATAATTTGGAGTAAATGCTTTTGCTTTATGAGTATAAGCATATCCTTCAAAGCAGTGACATAAGTAAGAGGATATTCATAATCTTCACCTTATACTTGGCATAGGAAGCATATCCTTCAAAAATTCTGAGTGTGGTCAGTAGCAGACTTAATTTTGTAAAATGTGGTCAAACGATGATGGCAGAAATTGTGGATGTTAGGGATGTTAAAACGGACAAACCTTGTTTACATTCACTTGGTCATGACTTCAAAAAATTATATCAGTTCAACGAAGCAAATGTACAATGGCTTGCAGACAGATTTTTAGTTGAGAATGAGGAAACTCGAGGAGGAGCACTTTAATGTATTCATATGATGAAGATATGTCTACGCTATCTCAGAGACCCTGGATATCAAAAAGGTATTGGTCAGGAACTTGGTGTTAGTCAAGCAACAGTATCTCTAATTTTCCCAATTGTAGGATTACAGTCACCTTCCATAGCTTTCAGCAACCTTCTTTCCCAATCTGACAATTTAATTGCTTTATTACCAGTTTTTTTTTAGATCTGTTTTTTCTTCAATCTTGATTTCATGCAGATTTCATGTTGTTGATTTTTTTTAATAAGCCTTTAGTATCTAATGGTTTACCGAATGTTGATTCGTATTTTTTCTTTTCAAGGCATCGTCCTTTCTCATTTTTATTTTTGGAACTTGTGACATTTGCAAAATAATGGGAGCAATGGCAATTTCATCTGCGATGAACTGCAGGTCGTTGCCATTATGTTCTATAGTTTCCTCATCACTTGAGGATGACATGCTTATTAATTTGATAAAAAACTATCCAGTAAAAATACCGAGCGGTCTGTGTAAGCTCTGGAGTACAACTGTCAGTGATGCCGAGTGAACGAACTCCCACGTCAATTACAAGCTGGAACAAGTCAGTACATGTCGCTCAAGATACAAATACCAGTCAATCTTTTACTTCTTCTTTGAGGATATTCTCGCGAGTATAAGGTAATCATTATGAATATGAAAACAAGGATATGCTTATACTTCTACCTTTTTCTCCGAAGCAAGACCTTATACTTTTACCTTATGCTTCCGAGGATATGCTTTTCTTTTATGAATATGGCTCAATATTGGGGGTTGGTGGACAAATGAGAAAGTAAGTCAGACATTAAGATCACACATTTTGGCATTTTTGGTGTATTTGCATCACTTCATATGTCTCTCAGGTAAACATCTACCAGAAATACAACAAATTATTTTGATGTCTAAATTTGTCTCATATTTGTCCACCTAGCACAATTTTTGTCTTCAGATTCGTGCTCAGAGGGAAAAGATATAGTGAACCTGTGCAACTTACAAAAAATTAAAGTGTAAATCATTTGGCTGTGCTTCTACATTATTCAACTTTTTGATGTCTGAACCCTATTTCACGAGTATCCATCATGCTTTGATGTCTACTGAGCTGAACAGCTGATCAGCAAGTGACATTTTTGTGTTAGTCTGCAACATTGGCAATAATGAATCGGGTGAAAAATATCTTGTTTGTAGCATTTTGTTTCTTGCATGCAGATGAACTTTACTAAATAAAAGTGTAAAAAATGAATCTGCAGTGTACAAAAAACCATAACAAAATATGGCTGTGTCTACCAAGGCATTGTCGGATCCGTGAGAATTATGTGTCATTTGCTGATATTTGGAATTTTTAAATATTACTAGATAATTAGCTGTCATTCTACCACAATGGATAGTCGTGAAAAAGACTATAGGTAGATTACATTGATTCTATTGCAGATAAAATTCCTTGTGAAGATGGGAGATGTATACCAACCAGTTGGTGTTGTGATAGACACCTTGATGTCAACTGCATGGTGATTAACAAGCACATTTGTTGCCAATCAATGATTCCTTCAGAATGTAAGTATCAACAGATGAACGCACCTTACTGACAAAATGTTGTAATATACAGGGTGAGTCACAAGTTGTGACCAAAAATGAAACATCATACACAGGATCGCATTTTAAGTGGGGTCTTCAATGTAGCATTTTTCCTCGAGGGCTTCATTAAAGATATATATATCAAAAGGTATCAAGGCCTAATATTTTATTTTGAAACTAATTGTATCTTGGCTCTTCATGAATGATCTAATTTGTTTTATTCTTATTTCACGAAAACAGTAGGAAAAATAGTAATTATTTGTAGCAAATGAAGGTAAAATTCGAAAAATTGCGCGTTTTGAAAAAAAACAGTGGCGTACTATTTTGATTTGGAAAAATAATGCCACTAATCCCCCGTATCTCCACCACTGGTGCACGTTAATTTTATGTAAAGACTTTTGAATATGGACAATATTTAGGTAAATCCACATACCATATTTTAGTTCATTCCAGTTGACGGTTTTGAAGATATTAAAAAAAATGTTCTTTATTTTTAAACATCAACACCCTGTATCTTTTCAATGAAACCCTCGAGGAAAAAATGTTACATAGATGCCTCCACCCCCCTCCTAAAAATGCGGTCCTGTGTATAATGTTTCATTTTTTGTCATGACTTGTGAATCACCCTGTGTACATTACAGCAGTCCAACAGTGGTATATGGATATCTCTGTATAAGGTATCTAGAATAAATTGTTTATTTTTTGATTTCAGCTTATGAAGAGCTAGAATCAGGATATCCTACTCTTGATCATAATCATCATTTTGGAGCAAGATATTTGTTCATATCAGTATGTAAGTAAAAATATGTCTGTACATGTATGTGCTTTCCAAATATGTGTTCCAATAGACTAACCACTCCTATCCATACTTTTGCTAACTACACAATGCTTCAACCTACTTGAAGTTATTTTATAGATGTAAACTCGTAATGATTTTTCTACAACCAACTGAACAAGTAAGCGCTATCGCTCGTAGTGTAGTATGCAAAGTTTACGTTTTCCAACGACTCGCAACTGCCTTACCACTTTAGAACAGCAAAATAGCAAAAGGGCTTGCACCTTGTGTTTGAACTAACAATGGAACGCTACCATGTTGTCAGAATGACTGATATCATGAGTTTTATTACCTATTTACATCAACAATTTCTTCACGAATTTATTCATCAACCATGTTTTAAACATTTGAAATTTGGCCATGAACACAATTCTTGTATAAGTCTATGGATTTATTGTCATATGTACAATCTGGAAAACTGACTTGTGTCACTCTCAAAATATTGTCTTGGTCTGCTGTGCCGTGGTATTGACGACCGTACTTTTCCAAGGAGATGCACAACTGTAGGAAGTATTTGGAAGCTCAGAAATAATTTCCATCATCACAACGATGGTGGGATTCGCAGTAATTCTCTTAAAAGTAGAAAAAACACTCCATTTTCCTTGTAAAAAATTGTTTATTCTTAGACATGGCACCTGTTTTCCAGAGAAAGATCACCCCTTAATCCCCGGTAATTAGAATAGAATATGTGTATTAGCCATATGCGATAATAATACATAAATATCAGCTTCCTCGAGTGCACTTTGGCAGGATAAAAAATGTTTCATGGCCGCATAACAATAATAACTTTTGAACGAAAAAAAAAGTACAAGAGTATAAGAAAAACAGAAACACGCGATAAAACGTTTGCAAAAACTTGAGTGATTAAGATATAATTATACAGAAACTTAGAAACACTTTTAAATAAGATTAGTCTGAGAAGTTATAAAAACATTTCTGGGCAAGAGTTTTTTTTAAGTTTTATTTTTTGAAATATTTGCTATGCATCCTTGTATCTTGTGATAGGTTAAAATAGTGAATTCTGGCATACCTGGGGAACTTATTGATAAACATATGAGAAACATTGTCAACATAAAGGTTTCTTTTGCCTCTAGTATGGTAGTCATGAATGTGACAATGTCTTCTGAAAGTAGCCAAATACTGCTCAGTGTATACAGTGTATACTGTTAATAAATGATTCTAAATAAATGTTTTGGAAAATGACTCAGTAGTCTCAAAATTTTTCAACGTTGGAAATGGAAATCGCATAACCTGCAACTGTTCGAGAATTTTTTTTTACACCAAAGCAGCCTAAATGCCAGGGCGACGCGGCCGCTATGAGGATCCAAAACAAACTTTGTTAATCCGATTTTTAAACTGCCTAAGGTTAGTATAACTGAGAAAAGCCTCCTCTTGTTGATTGTTCCACAATCTCGGCACCCTAGGGAAAAATGAGCGGTCGTATCAGCCAGTTCTGGATGTACGAAGTTCGACACGGTTAGGATGGGAGACGGAAGTCAGACGGATCTGTCTGGCAGGCACATCGCGCGGCGATATCATGGAGGAGATCTCTGAGGAGCAAAGACCGTTGGTGTAATGGTAGAAGAGAGCTAGATCGCTATGTAGGTGCGTGAAAGACACTCGATTGTAGGATCCTATCTGGCAGCGTCGGAGTGTGACGGACAACGGGGTAAAGTAGAAGAGTGATAAAAGAGAGAGATGGCAGAACGGGCGCTGGCGCCTACCGCTTAGACGGATGCACTCAACAAATGCGATTTGTTTCTCCCATTCGCAGAGTTGCCGATACCAATATGTCATATTTCTAAGAAATCTAAGTCTACCCAAATTTCGGGAAAAATAGCTGCGGATTCCACATAAGAGTATTCCAAAAATGAAAAAAGTTCAAACTATTAAAATTGTATTAATGTTTCATGGTTCAAATCATATTTTTCATGTTTGTATATTGTTGTATAAATGATTTTGTAATCCCTATTCTTGTTGCCAGTAGAGATACAACAGTATTGAGAGAAATCATGGACCGCTAGATAGGGCTACAACTACCATATGACTATCAAATGGTAGTGATAAACAGGGTTTGTTTATAGCACAGTTGCCTGGTGTGGCGAATTTGCGCCATAGGGGCGATTTGACAACTTTGAAGGACAACTATAACGGTTACTATGGTGCCCGGTATTCGGGAATCTGGCAATACCTGATGATTCCTAACGTTTATTACGCCAGATTGTTTGCTGACTTGCGCAGTACAACATGACAATCAACGTGACTGAGCACCTGGTAACCCTGGTTTAAGGTGTTATATTTAAAGAGCTTGGGGCAGTTAAGTATCTAGGTCACATTTTTTAATGTATTTAGAGAAATCCGTAATGTTGAGTAAATACTAGATCACGTTTCTTGCTTAGTTTGCTGAAAATTCTACAATAGACGTACATTTTGAGAAACAGAGATTTGGTGACGACAAAATCGTAAAAATATAACGCATTTTCGTAAAATAATTTCTTTGTTGAAAAGACTGTGGCTTGATGACCCATTGAACGAGTATAGTGTCCCGCTCCGCTTTGAATATTGGAAACACTATACTCCAGCAGCATTCAGCTTCAATGTTATCTTTATGAAGTTCTAACGTCTAAGCCATGCTGATTAAAAGCTTGAATGAATCAACACTTAACTCTAAACTCCCCACAATTCGGGAAGCTCTACTTAAATTGGCAACACAGCGTATCTGCCTATTATTCTCATTCGTGATACAGGTCTGCGGTTAACGGTAGGAAATATGTACGAATAGCGATGAAAGTAGACGAGCCGATGCGCTGTTGCCAAGAAATGATTTCCCATGTATAACAATGGTTTTTCCTAAGGTGTATATATAGCCAATCTACAGGTAGAATATGTTAATCAATGTCTTAATGCAAAACTATCCCTTTTATTTCAGGTATTGTAAGTATCCTTTTCTCGATAGTCCTGCTCCTCCTGATAGTCTCCAAGGTAGTGATCTTCGCAAAGAAAACTGCACTTCAACAGCAACACCGCAATTTTTGCGACGGCATCAATTTGAGGAACCAGACGAACGTGAACATTATCCGCGCTAATTTCAACCCGACGAACATTTACACTGTTGGAGGGAATTCCCGTACGCCTCGGACGAATATCATAATCGACACAGATGCGACAGATCCTCTGTTGTTCAATGGAAGGTAAGAGTTTTTTATAACATAAGCTTACTGCATTCATTAGAGAAATGTGAAAATGATTTGGTATCAAAAAGAATCGAGATCCGAAAAGTGTTACGTATCTTGAAAGGTGACATATAGGTTTTTTGTGACATTATGTAGGTTTTTCTACAAGATGTCAACTTGGAACTAGCTGTTGTTAACTTGATGTGAACTCGTTCTGTAGTTGTACATCATGACGCTTCAACTATCAATGTTTGGCTCTGTATCTGCTTCAGAGATGGCATTATTTGAGGTCTAACCTGCAAGTTGTGTAGTATAACTGGCAGGTGCATGGTGAGAATTTGTATGCTACTTCTCTGCGTTGATGATAATTCCTTGTGGGGAGAAAATTGTATTTTGGTTTTCCATGGTTAGATGCTGATAAATAAAAATTTATTTTAGATCATTTGAACTTTAACAAATCTTTGAAGTTTCGTGGGGCTCTACAGCTCTTGAAACCCCCTTAAAATTCAAACGTATTTCTACTCTAGGTGCCCTTTCGAATGTTCATCGAGTTTTTATCAGAATCACAATTTTGATTTTTTTAAATTATTGTAAAAGCAGAATCACACTACAAACATATACAGGGTACCCTGAAAGTTAGGACTTCTTCTAACTACTCGGCCCTGAACAGAAATATCCTGGAAAACGATCGGAACACTCCTTGGAGCATCAACGGCATTTTTAAAACACTCATTGTAAACTAACATCAAATTTATAATTTCCTTATTGCTATAGTAAGGTGCCAATTTAGGTTTTTCAAATCCGATTTGTATCTATAGTCAAAATCACGAAAGATGACTATTACGTCATACCATAAATTGTACTGAAGTAATCAATGAACGTACGTCGAAGAATAAAATCATGATTTCAGGAACATAATGACAACAAATTTATATTATGATTTTGCGAAGTTAGGTTATTTCACTGATTATTTTTATTTTCATTTTATTTCATGGTTTTGAATGATAATAATAATTTTAGCGGGGAGTTTTTGTATTGAAAAAAAAACAGTTATGAGTAGAATATCTTAAGACAGGAACACCAAAGATCAAAGTATTATTCGAAAACAACCTAACCTGCTTTAACATAACCTAACTATTCATCTTTCAAATATGATCGATCATGCAACATGAAAACATCGTCTATCTTTTTCGGATACATGCAAATTAACAATACAGTTTGTTTAGACAATAAAATTCTGTTTGTCTCTGTCTAATATATCTGAAACTTCAATAAAAATATCCACAAATCGCTGTCGTTTGTCTTTATTACAGACTAAAATGATGACGTAATCGTCATCTTTCGTGATTTCGACTATATGTTAACCTACACACCGCGTGGCATGGATTCGAATACTGACTCTCTTTGTACCTCTTCACGTAGGATTTTTTTTCTAAATTTGATATCTCAGTTATCTTAAGGGATTGGTGTTTCTTTTGTTTGTGTATTTAAGAATATAATATTCTTTTAAGAAAGTACAACAATTCCATAACATACAAATATTCAGAAAAACAAAACTTGCATCTCTTAAAAATTATAACTATCCATGAAATGTTCAGTTAATTTTCTTTTAAACGTCTTTAAATTACATGTAGACTTTATATCTTTATTTAGTTTATTAAATTCAAGCAATCCCTTCTGAAGTATTGATTTGCTAGTTATATTACTATTGCAATTTGGCAAATTTTTCCTCGTATGATAATAATTATCCACACAATTATTGTGGTAACGATTATTCAATTCTATGTAAACGTTGTGACAAAATATGATTTTTTATTTTACATATGAAAATAAAAACCAAATATGCTATTGAATTTTTAATATTCAACAATTGCAATTATTGTAACTTAGGTTTTATTTTGGTGCACTTATTTTTATTCAATATCATTCTCATAGCTTTATTTTATATTAATTTTGAGAATACAGCTTTATTGGCAGTGAACAAGATAGTTGAATGACATTGTAAATGCGGCAGAATAACTGTATTATACACTATTTTTGGAATATGTACTAAGACTATGAGAAGCCCTATAAAAGTAATTTGTTTTGTTTACACACTTTTTGAAATAATGAATAGTGATCCCCAAACTTTACTATCAATATATCCAATTATTTAATTGATTCAACTTTTTCACTTATTTCACCATAACTGTAATAGTATTTTCATTTAAGTATTTCCCTATCAGCATACATTTTATTTTAAATGCATTTAATTTCAGTTTATTCAAATTCAACCAGTTTATGATTTTTGTCAAATTAGAATTTAGCATCTTTAAAGCACTGTCTATATTTTCATCTGATATGTATATTAATATATCACCTGCAAATATCTGAATTTTACAAAAATATAAAATATCACTAATATCATTAAAATTTGCCTATCATTGCATGACCTTTATGCTCTGTAAAATTTAAATTATAAGCACACCCTGTAAGTTCATGTTTACGTAGACCGAACTGATGTTCTAGGTTCAACATCAACTCGGGACTCGGTGAACAGCCACCCTCCTATGTGGACGTGGTCAGAAGCAATAGGTTAATAAGTGAACCTCCTCCTCCATATACTAGCAGGGAAATACTTAACGACCAAGAAGAGACAACTACAACGTCTATGAGGAGTTGAAATGTTCTTTCAAGTATTCTATCGGTATTTTTAGATTTGTAAGGATTAATTTAGTTGGGAGTATCTGCGAATAAAAATCCGCTTTTCTATGCTTTAAGGGAGCACTCGGCATTTTAAAAGCTTATTATACATGGTGTTCATAAATTCCATATAAGGCAAACAGTCTCGAAAACCATGAGTTTAACAGAAATTTTACCAGGCATGGGTGTAGAATTTTCCCAGATATTTGACGGTGACATTGAATTTGGTTTTGATCTTCAACGTCATTTCAAGGTCAATTCCATTTTTTAGATGACATCTGAAATCGGAAGTTTTTACGTTTCGTGAGTCCTTGACCTTCAAAGGTCGTGGTCAATAAAATATCTCTGAAAGAAGCATCAGCTTTTCTATTTTATTTTTTTAAATGAGACCTTATAATTTTGACAATGGATAGAGCGGAAAATTTTACGTTCAAAGGAGTCCTTGATACCCAAAAACGTTTGACTTTTGGTAATGACCAACCTATCAGTAATTCTCATTTTAAAAAATGGAATTTACCTCCACCATTAAGGAAACATCTTTGGTAGAATTTGTTTTAGAATCATGGTTTTTGAGATAATTTGCCATATTCTATTAAACTTGATGTGCCTTAAAACCTCACAGGTAAATTGCAAGACCGTGTTATGTATCAGACGATCTGCGAAGAAAAAATTTATATATGTCCAACGTGCTAGTCGCACCTTGAAACAGTTTAAATGAAATTATGAATATTTTTCATAATCTGCAGAGTAATGAAAAGTGGATTTTTTAGTTCGTTTGATTTACCGAGTAATAGACTGTATTAGTAGATACATTATGTTGAAATTTTTGTTATAGGGCGCTAGGAATAAATACTAAAAGTATTTGTATCCTACTTTTAAATATACGCAGATGGTTGTCTGTTATAAAAAATGTTTACTGTTAAAAATCGTATTTCATATACCAAGTTGCTGTTATATACTGAGCCTCAACTTTGAGCGCATCTGATTACTGCTGATATGAAATATATTTTAATTTTGTGACTGTATTTCTTCGGGCCGCAGCTGTCTTCTTCAGAACAAACTTGTCTTAATTGTTCAGCTTTTGCTCCACTGAAAAAAACACATATGATGCTCTATTCTTTCACGCTTTTTTACAGCAATCGACTCCTGAACTCTTTCTCGGCATTTTTTCATCATGATCAGAAGTGAAATACAGTTAATGATAAACAACGATGAGCTTGATATTATGCAAGTTTTTTTTGACATACCATGGTTGCCTTATTTTTATCCTATCATGCATATCAACAAGAATGTTGCAATATTTTACACTAAGAACAACCTTATGTTAATATTTCTGTAGATATTTCTACATTGTGCATTATGTAGACTGTATTTTCGTAAAACGTAAATGTAAATTGAAATCAAAAATATATTTTAGTAACAAAAGCAATATATGTATTTTTATTCCATAATAATAAAATGACACAATTGACATATTAAAATACTAGTTCCTGGCAATCTTGCAATTCGCATTATACCAGTCAACAGATTCTTTAATGGCAACAGGAAAAGCAGTGAACTGGAAATCTGGCAAATATTTTCTCAATTTGGCGTTGCTAGCCGTTTTCTTGTATTGTCCATCTGCTTTGGTGGTATCAAAAAGTATTTGTCCTTTGAAATCGAAGGCTTTCACAAGTTCTTCTGCCAAATATTTGATAGATACTTCTGATTCCTCATCAACTGAAAAATGAAATTTCAATTTAAAAACAACGAATTAAAGAGTGTCCCAATAGATACTTTGGGATTTAAATTCCGTTACATTCTCAACGTCTTGGACATTTTGTATTATGCACTTATTTCGGTCATTTAGGCCCGTATCGTCAGTCGTCCCTACAATTGCAGGGCGCGTTTATGGCCTCCTTGATTGTCATACTCCTTTCTCTCCTTCAAAAATTTCTAGATTACACTTGTCCCGTGTCAGCGTCAGCGCTCTCCTATTGTGAAGATATGTTTTCTTTTTAAATTGTAGGAAATTTCAGGCTGATAAAACATGATATAACTCAAAAGCAAGCACAATCTGATGCAAATAGATGTTTGTGACATAACCTCAAAATAGAGTTCTGACACGGAGAAGTAGAAAACTATGACAATCAAGGAGGCCATATAGGTGCCCTACAATTGTAGGGACGACTGACGATACGGGCCTTAGACATCATTTCAAGACAGGAGCGCTTCAGTATTGTACAAGAAAGGTCCACTCTACACTGGTGGAACAGTAAGTGTTCATGGCAAGAGCTACTACCAACATTTCGATACTAGAAAATATTTTTATTTTATTCAAAAATTGATGTTACTCATTTTTAGAACACAATAGAAAAAACTGTTTCACAAAAAAAATCGCCACGGACAACCAAATAACTCGAGCGAGTTCAAACTTGTACTGAAGGCGGATCACGTTTCCCTGTCTCCCCTCCAAGCCCGCCGCCTCCGATGTTGCCAGATCAAACGCTACGTTGCCAATCTCATCACTTAATTTACAGACCTGTTATGTTCTTTAAACAAGATAGGGCCTCGGGAAATTTTGGGAATGTCAAAGACCTGTTTTTCTGATGGCCGCGTGACTTCTTGCAACGGTCTGTCGACTTGCGATAGTATACAATCTAACACCGCTTGACATTTTTCTAGAAATAATAATAAAAGACTTTATTTATTAACACCAGAAGTCTGGGTTCATAAATTGTGCTCTTCCACTCAGCCTGAGTAATGTAACATTTTCGTACAACAGTCCATTCAAACAATCCGCAACCATCAAAATTTCTCAAGATATTGGTCAAATTGAGTAACTTTTTTGCTAAAAGGTTACCGATTTTTTTTTGTCTAAGAATTGTTATCTGTGTATCTTATTGGGACAACCTTTACAAAGTAATACTCGTATGTGACAAATCTATCTCATTGCGTCAGTGCCACGTAACCTTATACATCTATAATTACTGACGTCCAGGCTACGCTGACAATGAATACCAGGTGATTTGAAAAAGTTGCTGAAGTCTACATCAAAAAAGATATAATACGAGGGTCACTGTTTATATTTTGAGCCTAATGGTGAAAAAAAAACTAATTTGTCATTGAAATTCACTTTACTGTTTTTCAAAATATTCAATCTGATCTATCTATATATATATATATATCCTTTAATTTCTTTGGGTAGAAGGCAACGAACATATTGCAAAAGTACACTCTTATAACTTGTACTTTTGCAAGACTTTGCCTTCTACCCAAAGAAATTAAAGGATATCTTTTCTTAACAGTTAAGGCAATTAACTATGAATAGTATATATATATACATAGGTATATATATATATATATATAGTTAAGTGTAATAAAATTAACTTGTTTATTCCATTCGTAACATCTAAATTTCATGCATTCAATCAGGTATCATAAAGGGCGGTCATTCACATTCAGAAAAATGTATTCCAGGGTCATCAAAATATGAAATACAATGATCAACAATATGTCTACGAGGGTGGTCCCAGAAGTACCTGGCCTGACCTAGAGATGGCGATAGTTGTTTGAAAAATATCATTGTATTAGAAAGTATGCAACCTATAAAGCATATGTGTCAAGTTTGAAGACGTTGTTTAGTATTTGTTTGGCAGTGATCAATACTGAACGTTTTCAGTAAATTTGTGAAAATGGAGAAAATTGGTCATCATTATGTGGTACAATACTTTTATCTCATAGGCCTCAGCCCAACCAATATAAAAGCTGAACTGGATTCTACTCTGGGTGAGTCTGCTCCTTCATTTACAACAGTAAAATATTGGGGTAGCAGAGTTTAAACGAGGCCGTATGAGCTGCCAAGACGAGCATCGCAGTGGTCGACCTAATGAGGTGACCACTCCAGAAATGGTGAAGAAAATTCACAAAGCGGTACTGAATGATCGTCAACTGAAAGTGCGCGAGCTAGCAGACATAGTACGCATTTCAAAAAGTGCGTTCATCGCATATTATCTGAAAATTTGGACATGAGAAAGATGGGTGCCGCGATTGCTCACAATCGAGCAAAAAGAGTGTCGTGAAGATGTTTTAATTGAGTGTTTAGCGAAGTTTCACAACAACAAAGCAGAATTTTTGCGTCGTTTCATAACCATGGATGAAACATGGGTTCATCACTTCACACCCGCGGCAAAAGAACAATCAAAACAATGGACTCAAAAGGGACAACCGGCTCCAAAGAAGGAGAAGACCGTTTCATCTGCAGGCAAGGTTATGGCGTCGGTTTTTTCTGATGCGCGTGGGATAATTTTCATTGACTATCATGAAAAAGGTAAAACTATCAACGGCGAGTATTATGCGAACTTATTGCAACGTTTGAGCGATGAAATCAAGCAAAAACGGCCGCATTTGGTTAAGAAGAAAGTGTTGTTTCATCAAGACAATGCACCAGCTCACAAATCCGTTATTGCAATGGCCAAAATTAACGAATTAAAGTTTGGATTGCTACCTCATGCACCCTATTCACTAGATTTAGCCCCCTCGGATTATTTTCTGTTTCCAAACTTGAAAAAATGGCTCATTGGTCAAAGATTTTCCAACGATGAATTGATTGATGATTGAACATCGCTGGGAAAGGTGTATAGAGCTCAAAGGAGATTATGTTGAAAAATAAATACAGTTTTTTCAAAAATTTTGTTTCCTTCGTTGGGTCGGGCACTTCTGGGACCACTCTCGTATATACATAATAAGCTCCATAGATAGAAGTTTAAGGAAACAATCCCCAAAAACTGAAGTTACAAACAAATGAGATTAGATACACATACGTGAACTTAATTTACGAGACATGTGTCTGCTTACGTAACTGAATTGCCAGCAAAGTATTAATTAACTGTGTAGTAGGGTCTGTTTTTATTTTTTCCATAATGCTATTTCACAAATCTGAACGAATGATTCCGATAACTTAAAATTTAAGGAAGTTATGACATTTTCTGTTAGGTGACGTAACCGGCCATCCTCTCGCGTCGAGATTCGGTCGTGACGTCACATGACATAAGTTCGATTTCTGGGCCACGGCACTGACGCGGCCGGACGACCCTTGCATATCGTTAGCGCTCATATATTGTAAGGTATCTTGGCATAGATTGCTGCATTCGACACCACTGTGGTTCAAAGGTCCAAAAATTTGGGCAAAATTCGAATTTTTAAAAAAAGTTAATAATGAATATGATACCAATTTGTCAAATATCAAAATGGCGGATTTAATATGGTGTACATCTTTGCAAAAAAAAGTTTCAATTGAGCTGAAATTCAAGTTTTAAATGATTTCAGCGTCGTTAATAACGAAGTTGATATCGATTAAAAAATCGAAATAGCGGTTCTAATATGGCGTCTGTTTGCAAAAAATGTTTTAGTGCTGCTCAAAAAATAAGTTTCTGGTGTTTTTAAGACCGCTAATAAACTGAATATCGATTCTTAAAACATCTAAAGGACGGATTCAGTATGATGGCTGTCTGCAAAGGGTTTGGCGATTGCGGTCAAATTACAGTTTTATATGTTTCTAATGTGTAATTTACGAGGGTTGTTTCAAAAATAAGATTCACATATTTTTTCAGGCACAAGGAATTTTGGTAACTGCTCCTTGCGACTCATCCTCCGTTTCGAAAAAAAATGTCACCTTGGAACTAACTGTATGTCATTTACTTCATGTTCACTTGTACGAGCTGTGCGTGTTGCCTAAACGTCATGACACTTGAGCTATATAATGTTTGGCTCTAATGTTATGTAACATCTGCTTCCGAGATGGCACTAGCGGAAACCATTTGTAGCTTCTACAGCTTAAGCTCTAAATTCTACAATATATGTTGTTGTACGATTCCTCCATAGGTGGCGTTCACAGCGAGTGCGCGTTGCAAAATGCCATCATACCGGTTTTTAATAACATATCGATTCTTTATCTTTACGGAATAACCTTGCAATCACAGTAAATACTGATGGTGTGACATTCGCTTTACAGACCAAGCTGATTTTCAAGCGCAATCCTCTACTCAGAGATCTGAGACAGATCGTGTAGTGCCGCGTCATTTGCTAATATGCATATATACTTCTTTGCATTATTTTACATGAAACAATATTTAGATGAGGAATCTCTATTATCTCTTTACTATGCATTTGTATATAGCCACCTGCCATTTAATATTCTACGCTGGGGTAGAGCAACTGGCATAAACAGTCTAAACATTGAGATGCAAAATGAACTGCATGATTATAATACACTAGATCGCCACAGTATAATTTTGTAACAATGTATGGAGTTGTCCAAAACGGACGCAGGAAAGTAAACGCATATTAAAACAAGAAAGATTGATATTCAAATCAAGTTGGGTACTTTATTTTGAAGGTTCATTTATACCATTTATGTATGAAAAATAATATCGCTCAAATGTTCACCACGACTGGATTTACAGACGTCCACGCGATGGTCGAAATTTTCAATAACATTTTGCAACATGGTCGGTTCTATGGCATTTATCTCGGCCATGATGTTGTTTTTGAGTTCTTGGAGGGTGGCTGGTTTGTTGACGTAGACTTTGCTTTTCAAATATCCCCATAAAAAGAAGTCCAAGGGAGTCAAATCACACGATCTTGGTGGCCATGGCACATTTCCTCTGCGCGAAATCACGCGATCACCGAAGAAGGACTGCAATCGATGGATATTGACGTTGGTTGTGTGGCATGTTGCACCGTCCATATCCATTCCTTCAAGTTGCGGCAAAAAATAGTCCTCTATCATCACGTGATATCGCTCAGAATTGACGGTAACGGCGTCCCCGGCCGCATTTTCGAAAAAGTAAGGTCCGATGATGCCTTTTGACCACAATACTCACCACACAGTCACTTTTTGAGGATGCATCGGCTGCTCTTGATACTCACGGGGATTTTCGTTCGCCCAGATGCGGCAGTTTTGCTTGTTTACCGTCCCATTCAAAGTGAAATGCGCTTCGTCGCTGAACATGATTTTTGATAAAAAATTGGCATCAATTTGGCGGTGTTCAAGGAGCCAATCTGAGAACGTTCGGCGCAAAAAATGGTCGGCCCGACGCAGCTCTTGCGTCAATTGGATCTTGAAGGCGTGTACATTCAAATCCTTGTGGAGAATGCGGAGCAAACTGGTTCTCGAAATGCCCAATTCTTGGGATCGACGCGTTGTTGATTGTTTCGGATCGTCTCTCACACTCTCCTTCACAACAGCAATATTTTCCGGTGTGCGAACGCTCCTTGGCCGGCCAGAGCCTGGCAAATTTGCCACAGAACCTGTTGCCTCGAATTTACGCACCAGACGACCGATGGTTGTTTCGTTTGGGCGGTTGTTGCGACCGAAATGTTCACGAAGCGCGCGAAACGTGTTTTTTTATTTTTGCACCATTTTTGTAGTGCTCTTGAATAACTTTAATGCGGTCTTCAATCGAAAACGACTCCATAGCGATCAATGGTAAACATTCAACTAACAAAATGACATGTCGGTGACAGAAAACAAAGATGGCGTCTATGTCAAATTGACGTTTACTTTCCTGCGTCCCTATTGGACAACCCTTTATAATGCTCTACCTAGAGATTTGAGAGATATTGATATCTAATGTAGTTTTAGAAGAAAGGTTTTCAATTATCTAACTGATAAATGTTTTTATTCTACTGACGAATTTTTAAATTGTAGATGTTAATACCGTTAAAATGGATCTTTTTGAATATTGTTTTTTGAATAATTTTTAATTTTGTCAATTATTTTAATATATTAAAACATAAATTTTCAAATTTAAATTCATTATTGCACATTCTATTTATGTATCTTCCCGTGACACATTTTTCTCCATGATCATTATTTTTTCCGACTTGCCATTTAAACCATGTATTTATATTTTGGCTGAGTAAAATACTAGTACTACTACTATGCTCACCTGATAGGCTGAAAGTCCTTACCTGACAGAATAATAGGTTCAACTTCATTGTATTCTCTGAGGACCCATAAAAATAGTTTAGCTAAATCTAAAGAGTAAATAAATTGCCTCAGTGGTTTCCCTGTTCCCATCACTGTGAAGGTATCTCCACCTATAAAAAATTATGGTGATTTTTTCTGCGTTCATCTTATTAATGTCTCAATGTCTCGTTACTCGCATTCATTGCAAGAAGCCTCGTGCCACCCAGTTTGGTTTTAAAAATGAACCGCCGTCTGGGCACCATATTCCTAATCTATGTATCCAACTTAACCAGCAAACAAGTTTTCGTCCAGATGACAGATACAGAAAATACGTCTTGCATTAACTTAACGGCTTTGCCGTAAACACTTTTCTGACCGTGATTAGAAGCAAAAGAAACCTAGGTAACTCTCAAGAGTCGCAGTGCCGGATTTAACCTGAAAAATGGACCGTTTGGGACTCCTCCTGGGTCCCGACATTAAATTAAGTCTGGATCCAGAATCTACGCATTTGAATTACCCAAGTCATGAGTTTGTGTAGACATCACGCTGCGACTTTTGAAAATTTCATAGGAAACCTAAAAATATTTTAGGATTTCGTACAGCAAAACGTCAATTTTTGGCATGCGCTTGTTTACAAGCCAACGTGACTGAATTCTAAAATGCCCTAAAAATTCGTGGGGCCCAATTTGACGTAAACAATGGATCATATTTCCTCTTGCGGGTTCTACAGTCAGATTAAAACTGGATGTATCAACAAATGTTGGAAATAAATAGAAGCCGGCTTGAGAGTGAAGTTCATCATCACCTTGCCTAACTGTCAAACTCAAGAAGGAGGTCTGATCGAACATGTAATTTAATATCTTTTTTCTTTTTGATTGGAATGATTTTTTTACATTTTGCTGCGTCTTAATGTATTCAATTCATATTAAAATGTTTGATTTCCACCGATGGTGATAAAATCTACACATCCTGAGTTATTGCTACATTTTGCGACAGCGACATTACGCAATACAAATTATCACTGCCTGCGTATACGCAGGTGAAAACCATTTCGAATCGGGAATCGATCGTAAACAAATTCTACACAATTCAAAAATGTGTACGCTCAAAATAAAACCATTATTTGGGCATAGAAAACAAACTCATGCATATCTGCAAAATGCATCTTAATTCAAGGGACTGGTGTAACATATTGGTGATGAGCCGGCTCCCATCTCTTTCCAGCATATGTGTCTATACACACTTGTCTCTCCTACACATTGAACTCAAGTCGTCAGATAAATTTTATTCTCGGTGTATGCTGTCAACATACATATTTTCTATTTTCGTTTTCCATAGGTACACGCGAACAAAACCCGGTGAACCTATACTATAACTATCTAAAACTGTACTGACTCATCGATGTTCACGTGAACATCACTTAACTACCAGTAGTCGGCTGTTCATAGGCGGGGTATGAATGTTCAACATGGGTGAACTAGATTTGTCACATGCTTAATAAAGAGTGGTTTGAAACATATTGTAAGTCAAAAATTTGGGAATTACCTTTATTCATCGTCGCTTCCACTTACCTCTGACAGTAATAAACTGTCGCTATCGCTTTCCTCGTTGAAATTGACTATAACTGGCTCTATGATGGTGTCGATGTGGTGGTCAAGCTGCCACATTTTTGTTTCTGCCTTCAGTACATGACGGATAGCATTCTGCCAAGCTTCGGGCGTTACTAGCTGTATGGAAGTCTCAAGTAAAACCTTAACGTCTGGTAATTTGAAGGTTATGTTATGGCGCGCAATATAACCCTTCACTTGAGCCCAGATGAGCTCTATTGGGTTCAGTTCACAGTGGTAGGGCGGTAACCGCAGCACAGTGACACCACATTGATGGGCCATCTCATCAGTCACGTAACTAATGTTCGCAGGTTTGAGCTGTTTAATTTTTTCATACAATTCCGCTTTCACACATGAATCGTCAAACGGGATTCCTTTTTCGCGCAACCATTGCTGCATGTCACTTTTTCGAGATCCCATAGTCGGTACACGTTCGGCTCGACGACTATGGTAGGAAGCATTATCCATGGCGATCACAGAGTTGGGCTCAACTCGCTGAAGCACCCCTTGAAACCAGCTCTCGAAGCAGCTGGCATTCATTTCGTCATGGTAATCACCTCCTTTCTTAGAGACGAAAATCAAGTCACACTCTTCTAAAAAGCCACTATCGCTACCAATATGAGTAACGATCAATCTTTGACTTTCCCTGACGGTCCACGAAGACCTGTTGACAAACCTTCAATGCTTGCTTGTCGGTTACTCACTACGTTTTTGTCTATCCAGGTTTTTTTAACTGTGTGACCTACATTTACCCATGTCTCGTCCAAATAATAGATTTTTCTGCTTTGTCGCCTATATTCAATCATTTCGCGTAGGTATTTTCGACGCCAGGCGACTATTTCAGGTCTCTCTATCAATACTGACTTCCGATTACGCGTTTCGTAACGAAAATTAATTTCGTGCAGGGATTTCCTCATTACCTCGACGCTCATTTGGGATATAATTTCTTTTTCCTTGATCGCTGCATGTACAGCCTTGAGGGTTGGTATCTCATTCCTAAAGAAGAATGAATGTACGGTTCGCCTTAACGCCATTTTGCTATCGTCATCCAATTTAACTGCCTTTCGTCCCTTCAAATTAAACTTTGGATCAGTAGTAGCTCCAGTTTTCTTCTTTTCATGCACCACCCTGCGAATCGTCCACTCTGGAACGCCTGTCACACTTTCACAACGCGCGAGTGCATCTCCCTGCGACATAGTTCTGTTCAGATAATTGAACACGTTGAGCACGATTTCTTTCGCGTTCCTCTTCAGTGCTTTAAGAAGCCGTCTACTTGTTCCCTGGCTTTCAGTACTTCCACTCGTGCCATTTGTACTCTCCATGGTTAAGTATAACCAAAACAGTAACCACAGAAACCACAACAATAACAATCACACAACAATTCTTATAAAAACACACAATATGCGATCGCTCAACGAAACACGTTCCAATGCGTTGCCGACGCCTATGAGTCTGCCGGTCGAGGCGCGTCTTTGATTTCATTGGTTCTAACGGCGGAGTTAACAATCACCCATTATTTCCATCTCTGTCTGTGCTGTTGACCACCGCAAAGCCACAGAAACGACATATGTCGTACGCTATACGGGTGTACTGGAAGGAAGCCGGGATCGAGCTCTGATCACGTGTTGATCGCGCGTATGAGTCATTACAGTTTTAAATAGTTGTAGTATAGGTAATTATGGAGTTGAATTCGAAAGAGGCCCTAAACGAAATCTAAAATGTAATGAGGCCAAATTTGGAATTTTACTGTGGGCAGTGCGGATGAGACCTAAAACAACTTAATCACCATTTTGCATGATGTCATGTAGTTTCCTAATGAGGCCTGGAATGACGTGACTTGATTCCAAATTGTAGTTATCATGAGGTCCAAAAACATTGCAAGGTATCACAGATGTGAAGATGCAGCCATGTTGTTGGTAATATGCTTTATTTTGCACATCTATCAGTCTTTTAGCATAACTGTATCCGAAATTGGAAGGATGTGGTGGACCATTGTGAACCTTCAAATGTAAAAATAGTTTAAAATGGGTATAGTCTATAGAAAATGTAGGTTTTATGAAATATTGGACATAGAGGCTGCATTTTGATATATAAATGTGCACACAATGGCGGATCCGCCCTTTAAGTCAGGAAGGAGTCACTTAGGGCTGTATCATCAGTCGTTCCTATAATTGTAAGACGCCTTTATGGCCTCCTTGATTTTCAAAAACTTTTCTCTCCTTCAGTATGGCGAATTTCCTTCAAAATTGAAATGTTCTACAATTACCCCTGTTCCAAAAGTGCAAAATTCTGAGTTATATACAAACATGCAGCCAATTAATGTACTGCCAGATGTCGAGAAGCTCTTAGAAGGAATCATATATGAACAAGTCATTGAATATATTGAAGAAAATAAGATATTGACAAAATTTCAAGCAGGATTCGGAAAAAAGTTTTATACTGAAACAGCAATTCAAATGGTAGTAGAAGAATGGAGGCGAAATATGGATGAAAAAAAGATTACAGAAACATTGTTCTTAGATTTCAAGAGAGCATTTGAGACTATTGACAGGAAGAAATTGTATTGCTATGGATTTCAAGGTTCAGTATTCAACTTAGTACGAAATTATTTAATCAATGGAAGTCAAAGAACTATAATTGGCAATACATTATCAAACATTAAAATCATTTCGGTAGGTGTGCGACAGGGTAGCAAATTAGGTCCACTACTATTTATTTTATATATTAACGATATTCCTGATATTTTACAAGACTGCAAAATTCATTTGCTGATGATACATTAATATATATATACATATATATATGTATATATCAAATAAAGACAACGAAACTGCAATAGAGCTATTAAATAATGATATGAAAAATGTAATAAACTGGTTAAATGTAAATAAACTTAAACTAAACACAAACAAAACAAAATATATGCTAATAGGAAAATCTTTATATCAAAATATGATAAATCTTACAATTAATCATGAAAAAATTGTGTCAATCGAATCATTATATATTTGGGCATATACGTAGACAGTAAATTAAAATTTGAAAGGCACTATGAATATATTATTTTGAAAATATCCAAGAAAATAAATTACTTTTATAGAATTTCGCATAGCCAAAGCGTACATTCTAAAAAAATTGTGTACAACACTATCATTCTTCCTCATTTGTTATATTGTTCGACTATTTTGTTCACTGCAAATGAAACTGTATTTTCAAAATTACAAAATAAAGCTATGAGAATCATCTTAAATAAAAATAAATTTACTAGAATAAATTTTATGCTGAAAGAACTACAATGGTTAAATATCAAAAATTTCATATCCTACTTGGTTTTCATTTTCATATTCAAGTAGAAAAATCATCTTCTACCAAACCACTTAGAAAATTTTATTGTATTGAACAATTATTCTACTAGAGGAAGTATAGACTTTCATTTACAAAACTGCAGTAGCAATATAACGAGCAAGTCAGTATTTCAAAAGGGATTGTATGAATTTAATAAATTAAGTAATAATATCAAGATGTGTGTCAGTTTGAAAATGTTCAAAGGGAAATTAAAAACATATCTTATGAAAAACCAGAATTCATAGTAATGAAATTTTGTATAAAAATATGTAGTCTTGAAGACATAATATATTTTGTGATATACTGTGTAATATGGATATTATGGACATAGTAGCATTAATGCTAAATAAGTCTCAAACAAACAAACAAAGAAAGGCTGGGACATTTCCAGATTTTTACTGTTCCGTGTCAGCACTCTCCTATTGTGAGGCTATGGTTCCTTTTTGAATTTTAAGAAATTTCAGGCTGATATAAATCAAAAGCATGAACCATTTGATGTAAATAGACATTTGTAACATAACCTCAAATAGAGTGCTGACATAGGAATGGTAGAAGACTATGAAAATCTAGGAGGCCATAAAGGCGTCCTACAATAATTGATGCTAGCAAGTACAAAATGAACCTATAGCATACAAAAAACCAAAACAAAATTCGGCTGTCTACCTGGCGTTGATGGATCCGTCAGAATTATGTGTCCTGTGCCAATATGGGGAATTTTGAGATATTCCTAGATAATCAGCTGTCATTCTGCCATGATGGATTTTCGTGAAATATGGTATAAGGTGTCAGCAAATGTTTGCCAGAAATCCTTTGGTCTTGCAAATATGTGACACACCTGTATATCAAAATATAGCCTATCCATCCAATTTTCCTTATTATCTCATTCATTTTACAGAATTTCATGTGAATTTGAACTTCAATATACATACCATAGTTTCATCAATAGGGTATGTAGTTTTATCAGGAAATATACATGTAGATAGACACGATACAACTTTTTTCACTTTATACTCAAAGCTTGTATGTAAAACATTATCATTGATGTGTAGGTTATTCCTCTGAAATGAAGAGACTAAAACATTTTTCCAAAAATATATATGAAAGATTTACCAAAAAGTCTAAGTTGTGTGACATATTGTGGAAAAGTCCTCCTACCATTGCAGCCAAGTGTATGACATGTGTAGGTTTGTATTTCTCAAAAATCTGCTTTGTGGTCTCTTTATCACTTGAAAATATTTTTTTTAATAAACCATTTAATTAAACAATTTTGATCAGTGACTAAAGAATATGGTGAACAAATACATTTAAGGATGAACTTTACTCATGTGGTAATGACTACATTAATAGCTTAAAAACTTCAATATAATGTAAAAAATGGCATCATCAGTTCATAAAGGATACAGTTCAGCAGAACTTAAACCCTATGAACAAAAAATAGTTATGAACATGTACAATAGAGAAATTGAACCAAAAGGTTTTTTCAAAAATGGAATTCAGGATCATCTGGAATGTCAAGAAAACCAAGTTTGAGCAAATTCTATTTTTTTGTCTTTGGCTTTTTTCTCTGCTGACTACTGGACCGATTTTCAAAAAGTACAAAGCTGCTTCGTCCTTGAAACAGTAGTAACCTTGTGTAGAAATTTCATCCAAATCTGAGCAGTCCTCTCCAAGTTATATATGGACCAAGGATTTGCAGACAGAGAGTCCATCAGATGACAATGAGTGACATTGGTTTTTATGATATACATCATATAACATCAAAGAAAGAATTATCATTTTCAAAATTTTTAGCACTTACAATACCGTCACTTAGGAAGTTAAAATACATCCCAAGGTTGCCATTATTCTAAGTAATGAAAAAATGTTTGATTTTTGTCTCTATCTGAAGAAGTCAAGCTTTTAAGACAAATGGTAACTATACTTATATAAGCATCTGGCTACCTAGATCATTTTAAGACGCCTAGTAGGTTCTCGCCCTTACTAGAGCCAATCATTATTTACTGTCTAAGAATTACCAAAGATCTCCATCTTTACTACTCAAAAAGATCCAGGTTTCATCGTTTCTTTTTTCGGTTTCAACAAATGTCTGTATTGCTTTTCCAACCAAGCCTGATCCACCTGTTACCAGTACTACTTTGTTGTCTGCCATTCTGCACTGCTGTCAAGACAGATTTGAACCAGCTATACAGTCGTCACAAAACGGGTTCTCACAATTAATTTATTATCTAATATGGCTGTTTATTCGTGCAAAACCACAAAACATTGCAAAACTATAATTTTGCTCTTTACAACACAAAAGTATTCACGCTTTACAACTGAAAACGTCAAAGTTGGGGACACGTAGGATACGTAAACAAATATCTTAGGTTATGGTACTTTTCTTAAGAGGTAGTCTGTTAAGCCGGTCACAGACGTCATTCTTTTCCGACGTGCTAACCAGGTCGACGACTCTGTAAATCAAAGCCTTTTTGTCCTCAAAAACAGGTGATGTGTAAAGTTGGACCTGACAGCGATTTATACTAATTTTTGATACAACTTTTTTGTGTCCTGCCTGCCATAATGTACAAATCATTGAACTTGCAAAGTTGTTTCACGATGGCATTATACCTTTTGTGATACCTGAGCCCTAGGGTGCCCATAGGCTGGAGCCTCAAAAAAAGTGAGACAAACCAGTATTTTTGGAGGGAAAATTAGTTAGAAATGATTGTTTTCGGAGGATGAGTAAAGTATTAGTAGGTTGGAAACGTGATTCAAAAAATTAAACAGCATGTTGGTTTGTAGTTTAATTTTTATGCAGCGCTTCTGAAGGCGAGTTCCGGCGATTGGAAAAATAGAGAACGGAGGGGGGTGTGCGCTTCACCAGCACTTCTAAAAATTAATAACTTATTAGTCGGTTCATTTGAGCACCTAAGGGTCTAGGGAACTTACTTCATTGTGAAACATCCCAAAATAATGAGAAAAATGAGCATTCCAAGAAAAATGAATAAGTCTCCGAAAATACGAGTAAGATAAGGCCGTGGACACCGTGCTGAGCCCCCTCCAGAACTTTTTTCTGTATACACCATTGGGTAGTGAGTACGGGAATTGCACAATGACCGCCCTGCTGATATTTCCCTAAGCCACTGCAACCTGCCTTTCGCTAGAAGCGTAGTAGGTTGTACGATTGAAGTCAGTGGCCTTTAGTTTGAGTTGCACAGAGTAACTTAACAGGATCACTGGAAAGCAGCTCAGGACACAACGGTCAAAAAACAACCACGTCTGTGGCTGGCTTTGCATATGTCATCGTTAACTAAAACCGGTCTCACACGATGTAGCGAATGCCTTACAACGCTGGACACATCCATTCGCCACATCGTGTGGAAGAGCGCTGCGGATTGCATGTGTCCAACGTTCGCCACACGACACGTTCGGGCTCTTGTCGGTAAATTTGACCAGCGTCAAAGGCCGTTACAACGTTGGAAGCATAGTTCATTACGCTCCCACACGATATGTCATTTGTTTGTTAGTTTTAGGTTAGAACCAGTAGCGGCGAAAAACATTATTAATTGTTTGCTGAGATTGTGGTAAAGTGGTATATGGGAAGTATTTTGATTTTTATACCTTCCTATTCATAATAATGTATGTTCTGTAACTAACTTTTAAGGAGAATGAATTAAATTAGTATACATACAAAACATAGGCTGCCATAACATATTGCTAATATTTTGTACGTTTCGCAGGTGTGTTATGTCTGGCCTAAGGATATGTATTTTAGTAAATTATGAATTATCAAGTGCTTTCAGTTGTTTCATTATAATGTCCTGTTGCAATGCAAGAGTAGATGAGAAATATATTGACTTGCATTGCATAACTAACGAAAACGATTAAATAAACGATAACTATGAAAGTACTATCAGAATTTTGATGAAATTTTGACCCTAGGTTGCTACTATGAAAATGACGAAAAAGCTGTGCAGTTTTTGAGAATCGGTACAGTGGCGGCGGATTTATCGTCGAAAAACAAACAAAAAACGGTCAAACTTCGTTTTTCAACATTTCTGAGGCTTCTGACAGACTTGAGTTTTGGTCGCTGAAGACAGATCTGTAATTTTTTTTGGCGCTCGAAAAAATTGTTTTATCGTTCATTTTGTATAATTTTTCCTTCAGTTGTAAAGCATCAAGCGCGACACCGGTAATAGGCGTTGGCGCCCCCAAGTGTCGAACGTCCGAGACTAAAAAGTTCATCCCATCGTATAGGAGACCCCACTTGCCAATGGTGGGGTGTCGAACATCGTGTGGGACCCGCATAACTGAACTCAACTGTCAAATATGTCAACTGCAGGTGCAATTTTGGTGCAATCTGCAATTAGTATAGTTTAGTATACAAATTATAATTAAAATGGATGATAATTTTTCACTATGCGGGATATGTTACACGCTACTGAAGAAAATCGACATAAATAAAAACAGGTCCTTTAGAGCCCCTTGTACCCAAAGTGTCATCAAAATTAGCGATGCCTTGCTGTACGTTGCTCCCGAGGCTGTAAGTTTGTTTGCATAACAATATAGCTTATTTTTTAGTTTTTTTTAAATAACGATAATGTCCTTTTCAAATACGCGTGAAGAAAGCTTAGTAAATTTAAAATGTTTGATATATTAAGCACTCAATCACAGAGAGCTGGTACTTATTATTCAGGTCATTATTAAAAAACACAGGTCTCGGGTAGTTTAATGTTTTAAAGCAATAGTCGATAAATTGAGCCTTTTGACTACCGTAATATTTACCATTTTACCATAAAAGTTTTTTGCATGTGTTGGTTACCTTTTGATACTTTTTTCTAGAATGTCAACATTCTTGAACAAATGGTTTTATGCTGTTCTTGTCTAGAAAATCTGAGATGTGCTTATAAATTTAAATATGACTGCTTACTTGCACAAACTAGAATTTCGAAACATTTAAACGAAAATAACTTAACATTAGTGAGTGAGGAAGAAAAAGTGTTATCAAAGAGAAATGATGTATCGTCATTACGTGAGGTTAGTATAATGATGAACTCAAATCAATTTCTGATTTTATTCCGTTTTGATGTTGTATGACATACGCTAATCAATACAGAGCAAAATCGGAAAATCAACATTTTCAGACTTATGAGGTATTGATTTGAGATCATCGATTTCATCTTACTATATCATGACCTGTATGGGGCCGTTCAAGTATTACGTAAGCAGATTTATTACAATTATTTACCCCCCATCCCCCTTGTCAGCAAAGGTAAGCAAAGCTCTTACCCCCTCCCCCCCATGCTTACGTAAACATTTGTCAATTAATGTATTGTTTTTTTTAATATTATAATTATTACCTTATAATTATAATTTGAAAAATAAGAAAATAGATTTAGGATAGAGATTATATTTTACTGATATGGTATTCAACATAGAGTAAAGGACAAAAATATTATATCTTACTAACATAACAAACTTATTTTAAATTTTTGGTACATATATTAAATTCAAATTAACAATGAAACCCGAATCCATGATTCGATGACATTGGATTGCTTCGATTGCTGCTCAGTGTTGTGAGTTTGCTTGCTTTCATCAGATTTTGGAATGTCTGCGTCGTTCTCATCGAGCCATTCAACATCATGGTGCTCTAAATTTTGATTAATGCACATCAGTTGATTAGCACGACGAGCAGCGACTTTTACAGGTCTAACTTTCCTATCAGTGTGAGTGTCTACTTTTTTATGGATATTTTCGATGTGACGATTTAGTGACTTGACGGAAGCATGATAAAGACCACACGTTTTACATGTTCGACTTGATAGCCTCAATTTTACCGTCGGACAAAAATAATCGTAAGGCATTTGCAGGAACTCTTTGAGTGAAGCACTTAAACGTAGAGCTAAATTGACTGGAATATTACCTCTATACTTTGAGATAGGTGATAATATTTTCTAATCAGTAAAGAGAAACTTTTTGGCGATTTCTAATATTTCTAGTAGCCATAGGTACCTAAAATGATTTTGTCACTCACCTTAGAAAAAAAATTTAGTAGATTGGATTTATTCTTAGTCGCCGCTTGCAATTCTTCTTCAATTCTTTTAGATACAATAATATCTAGTTCCTTGTCGGATTTTGCTTGTAATTTGTAATTTCGCCACACTTCGTTAACTAACCTTTTTACATTTTGTACTTTCGTACTTGTATGAGATTTTTTAAAACTTTCAAACAATTTTTGGTATAACTTGGATTTGTCTATGTGAAACGACATCTGATTTAAACATTAAACTTTGGCTAATGGAATCAGTGGTAACACAAATGTTAACTTGCTTTACTATGCTTACAATACGTCTACTGGCTATAGTATCCAAACGAAACAATACACTGATAGAGGAAATTTAGATAAGTGAACACCGCGAGGTAATTCCCCTACTCGGTTATAAAGCGAGTAGGGGAATTACCGCGCGCTGTTCACTAAACGTATCCATTATGTGCGGGAATCCCCGAAAATGCGTTTCGTTTTCAAGCAAAGACAATGTGAGGGTTGCCATTCGTGTAAAAAAGTAAATAACTACCGATGACGTAATCATCATCTAGACTCCCCTACCCCCAATGTCATCCAAAATAAGCAAAGCTAAGACCCCCCGACCCCTATAGTGCTCACGTAATCCTTGAACAGCCCCTATCAGTATTTGCACATATTTTTACATTAACATCATTTAGTATTTTTAATATTCCATCCCTCAAAAGTTGTATCAATATTTTAGCAACTTGAAGACATATCAGATAAACAAGATATAAATACATCATCAAATAATAAGTCAGCTAATAATGGAGAAAACCGAGAAAATCCTTTGGAATTTACAGAATCCAGATTTTGTGAAACCGATGCTGCATTTAAGGACAAATGCAGCCAATGGTTTAGCTTAGCAGGTGAAAATACAAGGACCTTTGAAACAAAATCAGTTCAAACTGAGCCACATGCTAAAACAAAAATTGTTGTTCAGTTTAAAAGCCAAACGGTAGTTGAGAGATTCCTTGAGAAATTAAGAACTGATCAAAATCTTGGTATTGATAAGAAAAGTTTAGAAGTATATATTGGCAGTGAAAATGAAACTCAGAGGCTCTTAGAGGATGAATTAACAGAAAGTAAAAAAGAAACACAGATGCAGCAATTAAAAGTGCAAACATTGTATGAAATGAAGGATAAACTAAGCCAGTACCTTAACACAAAGAAAATTACAGTTCAAGAAGCTTCTGTCAACCCGACTGCAATAGACAGTGATGATGGTGCCTCTCATATGGAAGAGATACTAGATACAGAAATAGAGCCATCTGAGTCAACCTTTGATGTGCCCAAATTGTTGATGGATAAAGATGGTCCTAAAGAGGTACCAGTTACAACTGACTCATCTGAGAATAACCGAGATGTTCAAGAAGCATCAAAAGAAGTACCTGAATTGACATTCTGTGAGGCGACTGGTGCATTTAAGAATAATCAAGACCAATATGTCGATACAGATGGACAGTTAATTGACTCAGCTAAACTGGAAGAAGCAGCACAAAAAGCGCTAGAAAAAGCAAATAGTACTTTCAAAGAACCTTTACAATCAAATGGTCTTGCAGCAAATGCAGGTTTGCTGACCCCAGTCACAGTCAAAGAAAATAATGGTATGCTCAGTATCATACCTATTGGTGATGCTATAGAGAATAGTTTTCTTACTTTAGATAAGCCATTTATGACAGATGATATGATTGACATCAAGGAAGAACCTCTTGATTATGATTTTGATACAAATTCTACTGGCGATACAGAAGATACAGTCAGTGCCCCTGAAACTGCACTACTGGAATCTAGGGAGATTGATGAGTATATTGATATACCTGAGTTTGTGATGATTAACAAAGATGGGGAAAATGCAGAGGCAAATTTGAAAAAAATGCAACCTGAAGCTTTGAAGGAAAAGTTACTTGGTAGAGAACATAGAAAAATACAGTTTGAGATAGTAAAAAATGCGAGGCGAGTAGTACCAGTTGAAAATGTCAGTCCAGGTCACTCAGAAGTGAAACAAAATACAAGATTGACAGGTAATATAAAAAGTAGTCTTTTTCTTTTTTATACAGTATGTTTGAAAATACCAGATATAGTAAATAATCTTGAAAATCATGAATAAGAGAAATGTTACATAAATAAGTTTAGAATTTTTCCCCAGCTATCTGACAGTAGCCTTGAATTTGAACTTGACTTGACATTTGATGGTCATGGCTACAATAATCGATAAATTAATATTCAAAACCCTGTTTCTTACATCTAACATCTACTTTATCTGTAAAAAGATTTTTATGATTTTCATCCCTGAAACAAAAAAACTCGCAAATGGATGAGCCATTTTGACTGCAATTTTTTTGTTGAAGGTACTGAGATTCATGTGAACGTCAGCTTTCTTGAGTTGTCTAACAAAGAATTTTTTTTAATAATAGTTTTCTACTGTAAAATGATGCTAACAATACAAACTAAAGCTTATACACCTTTGGTCACTCTGCTCAGTTCAGTTTGACAGAACTATGAAATAACTCGTAAAAATTTTTTTGTAGGAGAGTCAAAAATAAGGACATATAAAAAAATAAAAATGGTACCAGCATTTGAAAAACCATTGTCACCATCAAGGAGAGTGTGGGTAGATCCAAATTTCTACCCAGTGAGAAGACAGGATCCTATGACTTATGAAAAGAAATATCTAGCATCGTTCTTTACCACGAATGGTGATTATATATATGACCATGATTATATTATCAATATGTATCACCAAAGTTCCGCCAGAGTGCTGGATGTTGTACAAGAGTAAGTAATTGATATACTCAGTGAAGTGTTACTTCCAGAAAAAATTATTTCTTTAACTTCATTTTTTGGCAATGAGATAGTCTTGCATCAAGAATGAAACGATAACATTCTCACGAAAGCTTATTAACAAGTAATAAGAAAAAAAGTTAATGTGTTGGATGGCCTCGCAGGTGGTACACTCCTGTATACGTCTAGGCATCGATAAAATGAGATGATCGATAGCTGGTTGTGGCACCTCATTTCAAGCAACACACATGTTCGACGGGATTTAAATCCGGTGAACGGGGTGACCACGGCCAAACATTAACGCCTGCGTCTTGAAGAAAGACCATATTACGACGAGCAATATGGGGACGTGCGTTATCTTGCTAAAAAAAAGACGTGTGAACGGCCCTCTAGATACGGCAGTAAAGTGATTTGTAGGACATCATCAACTTAACGCGCAGCAGTCATATTGCCTTGAACAAATAGAAGGGGTGATCGGCCCGCCAAACCGTTATTCCAACAGTCCTGTGTACATGCCACTCAACAGCAAATTCAATATCTTGCCGTTCTACTCGGCTGCGTCTTACCCTTCTACGATCATCATGCGTATAACCTAGACAGAATCGTGATTCATCGCTGAAGATGACATTATGCCATTCTGCCTCCCAATGTAGCCGTTCTCTGCTCCAGTTCAAACGTTAACGACAGTTGTCCGCAGTCAGAGGAAGCACCAACCGTGGACGGTATGAAAAAAGTCCAAAGACTCGAATGCGCCGATAGAATGTAAAACGGTCTCGTAGGGTTAGTTGTCTGAAGTGCCTAGCTTGACACTCTGTGGTACACCTCGGTGGACCAGTTGGCCTTCTTCGTGTTCCTCTACTTTCTATCCACACACGCATTACCTTTATCGCAGTACAATTAACACGGCGGCCAATTTCGCGATAGGACAAACCAACATCTCGATAGGCAATAATTCTACCCCTGTCAATGTCGCTAACATGGTGATAATTTGGACGTTTTGAGCTCGAGGCATTTTGTTATGCTTAACACTAGGTAAATGAAAGGGCAATAACTAAAAATATCTGTACTACCCAGCTCCCAGAAACTGCTTTCTTCACAAAAACTAAGAGGTAACATTTTATCAAAAGTAAGATAAAACGTTGACATTGTTGCCACAGCATGCTTTAAATATAGGCATTATGTTGCCAAAAAACAAGTTGTATTTTTTCTGGGTGTAACACTTCTATATTTATATTTCAAAGAAGTGTAAAAAATGTTACCATCAAGTGACATGTTATAAAGTTGTCTTGTCTATAACGTGGAGAACGGCGCGAATTTTTTATGTACGACCGCTAAATCCGCGGCGCTTAAAGCGGTTGCTATAAAAACGACGATCTGTCCTTGGATTTCAAACAAACAGTAACACTTCCTTGAGGAGTGTTCAGGGTACGATTTGAAATATGCTTCTCACAGTAAGAGTCGTCATTACAAGTTCTTTTTTTTTAATTCGTACAACATACAAAATTTGAAATCCTTCGAAATACTCGGGACTTTGGTAATTTTAAAAATACAGGAAAATTTCACGTTGTTATCATCCCGAACATTTTTAATATGTTAAAAAATGGCGTCAAGTAGATTGGCCTTCGTTGGAGGTTTCAAGAAAAAAGGACGAGTCAAGTCATTTCTGTTAGAACATATCGTTGACAATACGTGTAATCCACGATACACTTACACTGAAGATAGAATATTGCGCATGTGGGCGGAGCTTCGTGACGTCACCCAGAGAGTTATCGGCTCGCGGTCACCAGCGGCAGGATTGTCGTAACGTTACTGCAGTTCACGTGTATCTATATAGTGTTTGGTGTTGCTTAGACTAAGTCATTTTCATTTATTGTTATAGCACCAACTTACTGCAAAAAGAACTCCATTTTTCTACTTTTCGAGTTGCGTACATTTTCACACCTACATGTACTTAGGATGTTCTATGGAATAAGGATAAATGTAGTACAGTATTATGACATGAACATGTTAATCCTGCTCCACAGAACATACTGAAATATAGGTAATGTAGAAAAACGGAGCTACCTTGTTTTTACAGTGAAGAGACGATACGCTCTATTGTGGAGCTAGAAGCCGTTTAAGCTATAGCCTGTGAAATAGGAATTACAGGGTTGAAATCTTTTATTAAAATCGACCATTTTGTTTTGTATAAATTTTAATGTAGCCAGTGTCACTTGCACCGCTAAGACGAATCCAACGACACCTCATATGTAAAAATCCGTCCAGCCGTTTGGCCTGTAGGTGAAAATATGCACGTAATCCATATCAACCCAAATGATAATCACTCTCCGCGTGACGTCATGCGCGTCGGCGGACAAAAATCGAACAGCGGAGCATACGGCACTGGCTCAAAAAATACGCCTAACATGTCGTTGACGAGACGTGTGATCCATTGATCTTGGATCTTGATGTTCTGTGCTCAATGACTGAATCGAGTGTCATATGTCACAACAGAAAATACCTGTAACTTGTAACGACCGCATGTGTGTTTCCCTGTACGTTCTTCCCAGTTTAATAAATCCAGCATATGATAACCATCTGCATTCCACAAGTGTGTTATATATCGATTCACCGACTCTAACAACAGTTATGTTTTGAGAAACTTGAAGGCAGAAGTAATTATGCCAACTGGAAGTTTAGCATGAAGATGGCCTTAATTCATGAGAATCTGTGGGATTGAGAATCTTATACAAGAAGCACCACAGAAGATACAAGAGGGCAGCAGTGTGCACTGGCCAACATTTGTCTAATGGTAAAGCCCCGTGTCTACCCTTACGTGAGAGAGGCTAGCATCTGAAGCATGGAAAAACCTGGAAACAATGTATAATGATAGAGGTTTGTCAAGGCGCTTAACATTGATGAGACACATAGCAGGAATTAAGCTAGCCGATTGTAAATCAATGGTTGCATACGTTTGTGAAATAATGACGATTTCACAGAGATTAGCTGATGTGGGAGTACCTTTAGATGATGAATTTGTTGCTGTAAGTATGCTCAGTGGTTTAACTCAGGAATATGATCCCATGGTTATGGCACTTGAAAGTTGAAATCAACAAATAACCACTGATTTCATCAGATCTAAGTTGCTTCAAGACAAACACTGAGCAGACAAGTACCAATGATGAAAGAGCACTAGTAGCTGTTAAAGGAGTTTGGAATAAGAACTTGTAACGACTGCATGTGTATTTCATGTGTTCTTCCTATTTTAATAAAACCAGCATAAACAACAATTTCAAAAGTCGGTATCGAATTGTGACTAGGTAGATTCACTGCTAAAGACATTTTATTGTTTGTTTGAGATTCAATGTGACATTACTCCTCCTCCTCGTGAACCTGAATCTGGCTTCAGTCTTTCTGACGATGTTCTATAACACCCTGTATCTTTCAGCATGAAACTATGGTTCTGCCGCCTATGCAATAACCAGCAATGGACACGAAATCACGGGCGACACATGCTGGAGAAACACGCGACGCAAACGTTTTGCACTTTGTGTCACGTCGATATGCGCACTCCGTTTGCGTTGAATGTCCACATGGAAGAACACACGAACGCGTGTGGCAGCGAAAAGGTGACGTATGGTGCGAGAGCTGCGCATGCGCGTAAACACCGAGCGCTAGCGCAGGATATTTGCGATTCCGTGGTGACGGAGCATGCGCAGAAGAAACGGACTAGGCAACAGGATACTGATGAAGTGAGTACTACACAATATCATAATATAACTGAGAAGGTACACCAACTTCGATCGGAAAAAAGGGGGAAAAAGATGAATGCTGCAAAAAGTACTAGCTCTAGTGTTTACAAAAGATATGCTCCGTAGTGTTGGTTGCAGTAAGGCATCAAAGACTTAAAGTAGATTTTGTAAAACGTCCTAGGATCTAGTAGTTTGAATTAATGTGGCAACCATGTGCGTCACTGCCATTTGACGCTGTGACGCAACTGCATTGATTCAGTGACAAAACTATAGAAACTGTCATTGTTTTTGCGTGTTTCCAATATCTCATGGGATTGTTTTGCGTTAAGACTACATGTTGCCGGCTCTAACTACAAAACACCAAATTTGACATTCATCTTTTTCTCCCTGTACCCTTCATTTATTTAGTACAAATGGGTATACAATGACTCGTGGTAATGCGGACCCTGCTTTTTAATTTTTTTATGGCTAAGTGGTAATAAAAATCTCTTGTTACCCTTTTTGCGTAAGCTCCGTTTCAAGTATTGCGAGTTTACGTTAAAGTTCCTGAGTGTGCGAGATAGCTCGATAGCTCACTTTACGTGATAGTGTTCCACCTCATTAACATCGTTCTCATGATAAAACTTATTTTCAGATACCTGCCTCCGCTTCTGGCATTCGATCATCATCAGATGACAGGGCAGCTGAGCGAGTTTCCGCAGAAGCCAAAGTGCAAAAGCATATGTATATGTCTGACGACGACTCTCAAGACGCACCAGACGACGTGAACAGAGATGCTTCGTACCAGCCAGGTCGAGATCAGAAACAGGCGATTCAAAAGAAGAAACGACAAAAAGTCGAAGCTGTGAAACCGAGTGGCAGACTTTTAAGGTCACAAAGTAAGAAGAGCCGAGAAATTGGAAGGGTTTTTTCTTAAGGTATTTTTTGATAATTTTCACATGTAATTTATTATATTCATCCATTGATTATAAGACGAAAATCCCCTGATTTATGAGATTGTAAATTCCTGTTTTATTGCTGCAAGTTGTTCAACGGGGTATTTAAAGCATGGACGCGTAAAATGGTTACACCAATTTTAAATTCGTCGGATTCATGCTTGGAGCGTATGCGCTTGCCGCGTTGTACGACAAAAGTGACAACGTTCCTGGAGCGCGTTCCAACTCTGCGTTTGGAGCGTACATGCCAAAACCGTACGTCTAAACACAAAACCGCGCAATGTTGGAATGGCACGTTGGATTTTTAACTGGTTGATGACGCCCCATTTTCAACAACATGTTGAAAAGTTAACACGTTAAATGCCACGGCGGTCCCCCCGTATGGACCGCTTTGTATTTCATTTATTTCCACGGTGTCTCCAGCCAGAGGCCCATATTTAAAGTTATTTTAGCGTTAGATATGAACTGCTGTGGCTTGTATGGATTATATATATATTGATAGGTTTGAGATCTTACTCAATTGTGCCGGCGCTTGGCTGATTGTTTTGTCCGCTAGCATCAGCAAGGGATCGACACCAGAGGAAGTTAGAAATAACGAACGAATCGTCACCTTGGTCCACCAACGCTGTCTCGCATCTGTCAGAGCGAATATCTTCAAGCCGCACTTTGACGGCTTGCTTGGAATATATTGTCTAAGAGCCGTTTTACACACAAGAGAATTACTCCGAAAATTATGGTCATAATTATGCCGAAAATTTTTGCTGTCGTATTACACGCAAAAGAATTCTTTTGAAAATTTTCATGGTAAAAATATAAAACCCGTTCTATAGATATGCGCGAGAATCGACGCAGAGGGTTATTTCCGTGCAAGTCAATATCAAATGTCAACGTCAACAACATAACCTCACTTAACATTTTTGTGTGTGGTCCTGTTCGAGTCGTACGAAGAAGCGTTTATTGTTTATTCCTAATGTCGTGGAATCGGGAAGAAGTTACACTGTTGTTGGAGGAGTACCAAAAATGGGCAAACCTGTTCAAGGTGAAGTCACCCAATTTCAAAAACAGAAATTTGCGGCGTCAGGTGCTGGATGCGATAGTCCAAGCATTGAGAAGTTTTATAATATTAACCAAGATCTCGATTTCAAAAATAAATTTAAATCAACGACGTCTGTTGTCTTTCCGATTATATTGGACGTCATACCCGTTAAGATTATGTCCATTCGAAAATATTACTCTAATGCGCAGGCGTATCATATGAATTACTCGGAAATTTTGTTTGCTTGTGTCATACAGGTTGTAGAGAAAATCTTCATATTTTTTCCATGCAAATTTTCGGCATAATTATGACCATAATTTTCGGAGTAATTCTCTTGTGTGTAAAACGGCTCTTAATTATGCCGAAAATTTTTGCTGTCGTATTACACGCAAAAGAATTCAGTGAAAATTTTCATGGTAAAAATATAAAACCCGTTCTATAGAATATGCGCGAGAATCGGCGCAGAGGGTTATTTCCGTGCATGTCAATATCAAATGTCAATGTCAACAACATAACCTCACTTAACATTTTTGTGTGTGGTCCTTTTCGAGTCGTACGAAGAAGCGTTTGTTGTTTATTCCTAATGTCGTGGAATCGGGAAGAAGTTACACTGTTGTTGGAGGAGTACCAAAAATTGTCAAACCTGTAGAAGGTGAAGTCCAAGCATTGAGAAGTTTGAAACCTAACGTGACAGCACAAGATATACAAGCAAAGTTTCAAGCTTTGAAACAAAATGCCAGCAAGGAGAGGCGAAAATGTTTCAGTGTACGTAGCATTCTCTTTAACTAAAAGTTATGTAAAAGTACACAGGTTAATGTTATGAGTTCAACTTTATCTGGTCCCAAGTGTATTTTTTGTAATAGAACTCTCCATCTGTTTGCTAGTATTCCAAAACCACGCTCCACCATTCGTCTAGCTCTTGACAGACGGTAATTGTAAATTCTATTATCATATGTCAATGAACGTTGTGGGAAGGATTTCATTAAATGCTTAGATAATGGGAATGCTTCATCAGCTATAAAAACATAAGGTACTTTATTTGGCACACCAGGAAGAGCCCTGTCTGGTGGCAGATTAAGTGTATTGTTTTGCATTATTTTATGCAGTCCACAAGCACTAAGTCGGCCATTAACACCAACATTCGCATAGATAAATTTGTAATTGGCATCTACTAAAGCTAGTAAAACCATACTGTCTGTGCCTTTGTAATTATGGCAATATGATCCAGCAGATAATAATAATAATAATAATAATAATAAACGTCTTTATTAAATAATATATACAATACATGTGTATATATATATAAAGTGTAACTATAGTGGCGAAGTTTAGCAATATGCTACTCTAACACTTAACCACTAAAGTTAAATATTACGTTGTTAACAGCTAACAGAAAAAAAAATGCAAAATATATATAACAAATCACTTATAACCCATATGAGAAGTGGAAAATGAGGTATTTTGTGTGCACATACTGCTACTCTAAAAAGGTCTATGAATATTGAGGGAAAAGTTAATCATTCAAATAACTCAACTTAACATTGTAGCGGAAACATGGTAAACTCATGGTCTTAAATTTACTGTCCAAAGAATTATATATTGCTACAACATTATATGAGAAACTTTGTTGGAACAGAGATGTTGTATGCTTCGGAATTCTGATAACGTGCCTGTCTCTAATAGCTCTATTGTGAATGGTGTTATTAAAAATAATTTTTTCACATAGATATTCTGGCTTAGACTTAATTAAAATTTTATGGATAAATGTGGAAAAATGTAACTTGACCAACTGGTCAAACTTTAGCCATCTCAACTCTGCATATTTGTGAGAGACATGGTCGAACTTTCTCATGCCGAATATAAAGCGAACACAGCTGTTTTGAATCAATTGGATTCTGTGTTTAGTGATCTGATCCAAACAGGGAAAATATAGAATACTGCAGTAGTTCAAGACAGATACAACGAAGGTTTCGCAAAGTTTTTTCCTCATTTTGAAGTTTAGGAGATATCTGTTTGAATACAGACTGCGTAAACGAGCATAGGTTTTTTGTGTCAGATTTTTTACATGCTCGGTAAATCTTAATTTTGTGTCAATTTCTACACCCAATATTTTTGCGCTATTGGTTAGCTCGAGCTGCTTATTGTCTATGTTCACATTTAAGAGCGAAACAACGTCGTTCCTTCTGCTGTCTGAACAAAACAATAAAATCTTAGATTTTTCCGGGTTTATGCTGAGGTTGTGATCTGCTGAATATTTGCATAGACTATCAATATCTGCTTGTAATACTTGGACAGTGCTCTGTATATCTTCTATACCGAAACAATGCGAGAGCTGGGTCATCAGCGAACGATTGAATATCAGAGTTGTAAACTGATCTAGATAAGTCAAATGTATAGATTAAAAACAAAAGAGGTCCCAAAATGGAACCCTGAGGCACTCCTGAAGGTATGCGAGTGACATCAGATGTAATACCCTTCACTGAAACACATTGAGTCCTGTTTTTAAGATAGCTTTAAAAAAATTTGAGTACAACCTCATCACAACCAACAGAACGTAGCTTAGCACATAAAAGTTTATGATCTATCTTATCGAAGGCTTTAGAGTAGTCGACTGATATTAAAGCTAAACCCATTTTTTTGTCCAGAACACGAAAGATGTTGTCGCACATGTTTATTAAAGCCGATGTTTTCTAAATCCCGATTGATTAGGTGGGATTATCTGATGTACTTCAATGTATGATGTAAGTTGAAGTTGTACAATCTTTTCAAGGATTTTTGACAAAATAGGTAGTAAACTGATTGGTCGAAAATCTGATAGGAGACCGGGTTTCAAAGTTTTTCCAATAGGTATTATCAGTGCTTGCTTCCAAATTTTAGGGAAGTAACCAGTTTCAAGACATAGATTGATAATGTGAACTAAATGGAAAAATATAACGGGTAGGCTTACCTTTACCATAGTTAGCGTAAGACCATCTATTCCTTTGGCATCTGATTAAAGAGATTTAATAGTTTGTAGAATTTCTGAAGGATCAATGATTCTGAATGAAAAAGAATCAGGTGGAAAGAAGTGACGATTTTTGTATAGGTGACATAATTCTTCCGAAGCATTATTTGTACTGTAAACTGACATAAAATAGTCATTGATTTCATTTGGATCAGATAGAGTATCTGGAAGAGGGTTTTTTGTCCGAGAATGTATATTAAGCTGCTTTAAGCCAATCCATACCTTTTTTTCGTCATTCTGTTTAGATAAAAATTGTAGATCTGCTCTTTTCTCTTTCCTCACCTGAGTAAGCGCGTGATTTCTTTTTTGCTTATAAATATTTAGGTTTTCTACAGTTTTATTTGTTTTATATGTAGTATGGGCAATATCTCTTTCTTTAAGAACGTCACGTAGGCGGGGAGATAGCCATGGAGCAGGTGGTTTGTTTACTCTAAAAGTAGTTACAGGAGCATGTTTATAATAAACTCTCATCAGTGTATTTGTTAGGAACTCAACTTTAGCATCTATATGGTTCATAAAAAATAAGTCGTCTAAATTTGCAGAAGCTAAGTCACTTAGAAAATATTCTTCGTTGAAGCACTTGAAGTTCCTTACAGTTACAAACCGTTGTTTATTTTTCAAATCAGGAATGGAGAGAGTGCACGATACCATTTTGTGGTCAGATATGCCGTTAGAATCAAGAACCAAACAGTCGGAAATAATGTCTGGTTTATTAGTAAAAACTGGATCTAATAAGGATGCTGTGTTACTTGTCACTCTTGTAGGATCACTGACAATTTGAGAAAAACCCACCATTTGAAAGCATGAAGAAAGGACGTTGTTGCCGCTCAAAATATCAACATTCACATCTCCTACAATAACAATATTATCAAAATTGTTTGACATTAACGGTAACATGAGATCTAGAGCGCTGATGCAATCATTGAGGTTTTGTGAGGGTGGTCTATACAACACACCCAAAAGCAAGAGGTATCTGTTTATTTTTATGCTGACCCACAGTTGTTCCAAGCAATTTCCAAAGCTGTTGTCAAAGTTAATAATTTCGACCTGAAGGTCAGTGGATATGTAGAGTCCTACTCCGCCACCGCGGGATCCCCTGTCACTACGGAACAGATTGTAATTATTGATACTCACCGCATCATTGGTAATGTCTTGGCTCAACCATGTTTCACTTACAGCGAAAATACCGAACCGCTCAGTCTGAATCAGGTCAATAATTGCAGCAAAGTCGGACATGAGAGATCGCACGTTCAGATGACCAAGCTTCATTGATCCTAACTTATCCATAATCTATTCTAGCTTTAAGACTGAGAACATGGTTCTCAAAAAGCATACATGTTTTATCCGATGCAGCATGCTCAACATTTATTTTTGTACGATATTTACGGTTATACTGTACACAGTTTGCACATTTCACAGAATCACTGTCACAAGTTTTATAAGAATGGCCACTAGAACACTTAAGACACGTAGATACATTAGATGCACAGTTCTTCTCAAGGTGACCAAATGAACAGCATTTTCGGCACTGCATAATATTGAGGTGATCAACTACGCTGCACCTCTTCCATCCTACGTAGACGAAACCTTTTGCTAGTAGAAGTTTTCTAATAGCTGAAGACACTTCTAGAACTAGGTGCATATTTTTTGAATCCCTCAGCTTTAACTTTGTGACTACTTTCATCGAGCTTGAAGAATCTTCATCGTTCAAGTTGTTTAAAGACAATATGTTTTGAACAATGCTATCATTATCGCCCAAATCATCATTAGAAGAAACATTTCTAATTATAATACGAGGATTAAACTTCTAGAATTCCCCAATGTGATACCCATTTCCAAGCTTGTTTCTAAGAGCTTCCTTCAGCTTCTGCAGGTCCTGCGAGCTGTTGCAATATACCGCTGCACCATCTTTAGTTTTTTTTGTACCACTTATATGAACGTTTAGTTCGACTGGATTGACTGCATCCCTAATGCATTTGACTACATCGGTGTTCTGCTTGTTGTTTGCTGATTTTACCAGTAATACAGATGAATCAATATTGTTTACACGTTTTTTTAGTATATCGCTGTAGCTAGGTGTATTTACATCCTTGGGCACAAAAAGTGGTCCACCTTCACAGGTTACAGTATTTCTACCAGCAGGAAAATTATCATTATCGGATAATTTTGATTTTAGTGTGTTTGAATATTCCAATTCATTTAGTAGTTTTTGCATCAGACCTTTTTCTCTTTGCAAACACTCGATTTCTTTCCTGCAGAT